TAACAGAAAGCACATCACACTTAACACTCACAGAGAGAGAATGAATGAGAAGCCAGTTCACTGTACAAACTCCTGACAGAAATTGGGAATTGGGGGCTAAAATTGGAGAGATTATTTGCAAGTCTGCAGAAGGACCTGGTAGACTCCTAGTCCTCAACTCTATCTGTCCATTAAGATGCCTATCTCTCCTTTCCATTGTAAATTAATCATGTAGGATTAAGCATGCAGGATTCTCTCCATTCTATAATTTTGCACCAAAAAAAAAAAAAAAATCTAGGACACAAATTTTCCAACACTGGATTTTTCCTAGCAGATGGTGGGAAAGATTTAACAATTTTTTCCTATCACAAATTTACTCAATAAATATTTATTGAGTGCCTGATGTTTACCAAGAATCATCCTCTGCTATGTAAAGGGGTTACAGTGAAATACATGGTTCATCATGATGCATGCATAGAATAGGGTTTATTGGGAAAATCATTAAGAACAGAGAAACAGAAACACACAATCTCTTCAACTTACACGATCCCACGGCTTAGGCAATGTGGAGATGGGCTGCATGATCCAGGGTTGATAGAGTCAAGGGGGAGAGAGAGAGTGTACCCATCATCAGATGCGCGCGCACACACATACACACACACATTTATATCTGCCCTATTAAAACAGGAATCTTGGAACTCAGTAGTTGTTGGAACTTGGAACTCAGATCTCCTGTAAAACGCTCTGCTAAGCTTATGAAAAGGGGCCATTTGGGTCTGTACCTCTCAATGCAACCCCTAGAATCTTCATTTAATGTATTTCTTTGCATTAACTGTTACTCAATTATAGCAGGTTTATGTTTCTGTTCTCAATTGGGCTGTCAATAATATCTCATACAACTGGGTCCAGTGGGGAAAGACATCTCTAACATTGAGAGAGTTATGGAAAGCACCTGGGGTGGGGGTGGGGGGAACAGGGATTAATCTGTATCTAAAATAGGAATGGAGTTTTTGTACCCTCCTCAGTCTCATCTACTTCTGCCTCCTTGCCCATCATGCAAGGCCTATAGCCTCCCCTCCAAGATGACCAGATGACCTTTTCCTAACTTATGAGTCCCCAGAAACTCAGGAGCTACTGTTTTCCAATCATGAGTGACTTCTGAGAAGAGACGAGGGTGACCATAAAAGCACGCACAGCAAAGTCAGTGTCCAGATTTATATCAATTGGAACAATACTAATTGTCTATCTGTTGAGGTCAAACCAAGCATGACAAAAGAAAGAGAATTTACTTTTACTATATGCAAGTTATAATAACTAAAGACACATGAAGAGATAGGCTTATAGAGATCTTCATCCAAGTTTGGCACAGTTGATAAATTATACAGGATTTGTGGATAACAATAGGTTTCATACAAATTAAAAAAAAATCTTGCCAGATAGTCTAATCACTTAGAGTAGTTCTATTATATTTTTAAATATTTATTTTTTAGTTGTACACAATACCTTTATTTTGATAACTTATTTTTATGTGGTGCTGAGGATCGAACCCAGGGCCTTCCACATGCTAGGTGAGCACTCTACCACTGAGCCAAAACCCAGCCCTGCGTAGTTCTACTATTATAATTCTTTTTAAAAAATATTTTTTAGTTGTTAATGGACATTTATTTATTTATTTATTTGTGGAGCTGAGAATTGAACCCAGCACCTCCACATGCTAGGCAAGCACTCTACCACTGAGCTACAACCCCAGCCTAACTACTATTATAACTCTTTTGAGCATAAATCAAGCGAGCTTAAGCAGAACTATTCTTCAACTACTTTTTTTTTAGGTTTTAAAAAATTCGTTCTTGGGGCTGAGGTCGTGGCTCAGTGCTTAAAGCGCTCACCACCCATGTGCGAGGCCCTGGGTTCGATCCTAAGCACCACATAAAAATTTATTTATTTTTATTTTAAAGGTATTGTGTCCAACTACAACTAAAAAATAAATATTAAAAAAATTATTCTTTGAAGTTATATATGACCCTAGAGTGTATTCTGTTCAATTATACATACATGGAGTATAACTTCCCATTCTTGTGGTTGTACTTGATGTAGAGTTACCATGATCCTGTATTCTTATATGAACATAGGAAAGTTATGTCTAATTCAGTCTACTGTCTTTTCTATTCCCAACCTCCCTCCTTTCCCTTCATTCCCATTTGTCTAATCCAATGAACTTCTATTCTTCCCTCCCCACCCCTGTTATTGTGTGTTAGCATCCATATAACAGAGAATATTAGAACTTTGATTCTGGGGGATTGGCTTATTTCATTTAGCATGATAGTCTCCAGCTCCATCCATTTACCAGTAAACATCATAACTTTGAAAAATATGGAACACTTCATGAATTTGCATGCCATCTTTCAGTAGGGGCCATGCTAATCTTCTCCATATACTAAATTGTTCCAATTTTAGTATATGTGCTGCCAAAGTGAGCACTCTTCAACTATTTTTAAAGTGAGGCATTTTCTTTAAGATGTGGCTCAACAGTTAGTTCACCAACTGGTCTGTTTGGGTAAAACTTGGTCTCAGACAGTGTGTTGGGACTAGTGGTACCACTAGAGTTCAGACTGCTAAGCATCAAGTACTATGAGTGGTGATCAACATTTCACCATTATGCTGGATTGTGGACCTTTGGATGGTGGACTATTTCATTAGTGAGCTCTGCTGTTTCCAGGGTTTGAGAGTTGTAGGTGAGGATTCACTTTAAGCCAGTTGTCTGGGTAAAGTAGTGGTTTTGACTGTCTCTAGATCTGCAGGGTATTTAGCCACTTGTTTACAACAGTAACTAATGTCTTATTTTTTCTTAATTAGAGATGCCATTTTCCTCTCACATGAAGCTTACTCAGGCTTAAGCCACACTATGGGAATTTAAGTCAGAGATGAGGCTTGTTCAGTCCCAGGTTCTCTTCCCATGAGTTAATCTGTGTTCATTAGTGTCCAGTAACACTGGTCAGCATAGTCACTTAGCAGTGGGAGAAGGTTCCATAGTCCCAAAGTCCTGAGGTAAAGAGTTCTGGTGGGTTCTTTAGCAAGTTTCTAAGTAGCTTTGAGACCAGTCAGAGATGTCTGTAATTTCACTGAATTTGGAGGAGACAAGGGTTCCAGAAAAAGCCCCTGATTTACTGCTGCCTGGGTTGCTTCCAAGCCTTCTTGCTCTAGCAATTGTTATTCAAACATGACCCCTATTGGGTGTCTTGGGACTGTAGAACCTGTTGGTCACCAGTATGGACAATTAGGAATTAAGAATTTGTATATATATGTTTTATGTAGTTGGAGGCAATAGGTCTGTGCAGCTGTGCTTCTTTCATGGGCTGCGGAATGCCTCTTTTGTCAAGACATGTACAGCCCTCAAGAAGGCCACTGATGGGGCTTTGGATTTTGTACCCATTTAGGACTCATTTGTGCTTAGGTGGAAGACAATGCAATGCAATGCACAGACCTGATATATATCATTCTGAAAAGATGTCACATGAAAGAATTATTGTTGAATGTTTTAAGTACCATGATAGTATTGTAGCATTTGCACTCATTTCTAAATAACTTGTGGTCAAAGAAGAAATCACAAGGGAAATTAGAAAATATTTCAAACTGAATGATGGTGAAAACTCAACATATCTAAAGGTGTGTGGTGCAGATAAAGCACAGCTTAGAGGGAAATTTATCATTTTGGATGACTATATCAAAAAAGAATAAAGAGATTTAAAATTACCGACCTGAATTTCAGACAGCAGAAAGTAGAAAAATAGCAAATTATGCTCAAAATAAACAGAAGGAAAGAAATGAAAAAGAGTGAAAGTCAATAAAATAGACAATGGACAGATAACAAGGAAAATTAATGAAAACAAAAGCTATTTTTTAGAAAAGTAATATAATTTATAAACTTTTAGCAAGAGCTTGTTTTGAAAAGAGAACATAAATAATCAATATCAGGAATGAAAAAGGAGATGCTAAAAATAAGAAGTTGTCAACAACTTAGTTTGCAGTTTCCTTATCTGTCTCTCATAGTTGTTTTGTAGATTCTGTGTACATGGCATATGAATTGAGACAGTTCTACTTCTGTTTCTCGCTTACCTTATTGAATGGGCTGGGACCTCCAGTAAATGGGAACTGAAGTAGGCAGAGTGGACATTCTTGCTTTGCTCCTCCTATTGTGGCAGGTGTGAAGCAGCTATAGGTTTTGATTCTAATTGTGTTGGGAAGTCATTTTAGGGTTTTACTTGCATGAGTGACATTACCCAATATACCTTTTTAAAGAATCTCTTGGGCTGCTGTGTGGAGGAGAATGGGCTCTAGGAAGACCAGAGTGGACGTTGGGAGAACAATCTAGAAGCTGTTGCCACAGTGCAGGAGAGAGGTGCAGGTGCCTTGGACCAGAGTGACAGCAGTAATGATGGAGAGAGGCAGTTGGACTGGGGGCTTTATTTTGGACGTAGAGCTAATAGTACTTTCTGGATCATTGAATTAGGGGTAAGGGGAAAGGGGGGAAATCAGGTTTATGGTTTAAATAAGTGAGTTTATTTCAGACTTTTTTGTTCCTGTGAATTTCAGATATTTTTGTCCTCCCTCTTTCTCTTTAAAATGGATAATTGAAAGTGGATACGGTATTTTGGAAATTCTAACCTTATGCTATTTATTTGTTTATTTACTGTGGTGCTGGGAATCAAACCTAGGGCCTTGAACATGCTAGGCAAGCACTCTACCACTGAAGTACACAGCTATCCTCTGACAAAAACCTTAATCTTTTTAAAAAAAATTACAGATGGACACAATATCTTTATTTTGTTTGTTTATTTTTATGTGGTGTTAAGGATTGAACCTAGTACCTCACAAGTGTGAGGCAAGTATTCTGCCACTGAGCCACAACCCCAGCCCCAAAACCTTAATTTTTATAGGCAGAACCTGGGAGAAAGATTATATAGATTTTTAGTCAATTTTAGATATCAAGGTTCTGAACTAAATTTCTGCATCTTTCTTTTTAGGTGTGTCCAAGACTGGTTTTCAGAAAGGACGCAAGTGGCCAGGGTGGACTTCTCGACTGTGTTACCACGCTTCATTTCTCTATATGTCTTCTCTTTTCTGAACCCAAAAGACCTGTGTGCAGCAGCCCAAGTCAGCTGGCCCTGGAAGTTTTTAACTGAACAGGTTTAGTTTGTGTCACTTCCTAGTAACAGAACTCAAAGGCAGCTGTGATCTGTGATGAGACAATTTGCTAGCTGTCTTCCCCAAAGATAAGAGCAGAGGGTGCCTGTAACACAACTGAGTCACCCTGAATGAAAATAATAAGGACAAGCAAAATCCAGCAATTGTTTTTTTGGTGTTTTTTTTTTTTTTTTGGTACTAGGTATTGAACTCAGGGGCACTCAACCACTGAGCCACATCCCCAGCCCTATTTTGTATTTTATTTAGAGACTGGATCTGAATGAGGGGCTTAGTTCCTTGCCCTTGCTGAGGCTGACTTTGAACCCACAATCCTTGTGTCTCAGCCTCCTGAGACACTGGGATACAGGCATGTGCCACTGCACAGCAACTGGTTTTGCAACTAAGGCTATATACATGATTCCAGTACTTCACATAATTTTAAATAATCTTGAAATATTCAATGTATAGAAAACACCTTACCTTGTTAGAGGAGTTCATTATACTCCATGAAAAGCAATTTAAGCTTTGGTTTTTTATCTGATATTATTTTATCCATAACTCAGTTCTAGAAAATTGCCACACAACCATGTCTTCGGCAAATCCCTCTTCAGCTGATATCTGTTGAAGAATATTAATCTAGATCCTCTAACAGCGGTTAAAGGCAGTTCACAGCAGCTGCTTAAAATCAACATCTTCTGCCATAAATTTTGTCTCTTCCTTTTCTGTGAAAAGATTTAATGCAATGTAATGGCAGACATACTTAAGATCCAAGTCAATAATTTCCTCTCTTTAGATTATGCAAAATGTCCAGGGTGGGCTTGTGTCAAGACTCTGGTCTCTGAGACTAACTGGCTCTTGATGGAGAGGTCACAGGCACAGCCCACTATGAGCCCTGGGCTCACAGAACCTCAACAATCTCTTCAGAATTCAGGGTAGTGTTTGCACAATGTATTGTTTTTGTCTTTTGACATTTAACTTTTGTAGGTCCTTACACTGAAGGTATATGTTGTGAAGAGAATATGGTGGCAGCAATTTCTTTCTTTCTACGGTTTGACAATTTTTGATGGATTGATTGCAGTACTGGGAGCCTCACATATGTTAGGAAAGCACTCTACTGCTGAGCTCCATCCCGTCTGCAACCTCTTATTTTAAACTGAAGTATTAATTTTGTTTATATTTGTATATATCCTGAAATATTTGGATTTAAATACATCGTCTTACTATTTATTTTTTAGTTTATTCTGTGTGTTTTCCCTCTCTACATCTTTCTTTGGTTTAACTTAATATTTTAAATATTTTTTGACTGCAAGTTACAAGTTCTTTCATAGTTACCACAGAGACTGTAGTAAGCACCCTTTGTTATTTTACCACTTCAAGACAATGCAAGAAACTTGGAACTCTTTAATTTCATTGATCCCTTTCTCAGTTCTGTGCTTTTGTTGTCAAGTATAATGTGTGTGTGTGTGTGTGTGTGTGTGTAACAAACATACAATTGTCCTTGAGTTCACAGGGGATTGGTTCCAGCACATCCTTCTCTCCACACAGATACCCAAATCCATGGCTGCCCAAGTCACTTATATAAGATGATATAGTAGTGTAGTAGATACACTATAATTCTCCTATTTTAAATCATCTCTAGGTCATGTATAGTATCTAATAACCTGGTATTCGCCAGTTTTTCATTGCAGGGACAAAATACCTGAGAAAAAATTTAAAAGGAGGACACATTAGTTTTGGCTTATGGTTCCAGAGGTTCTAGTCCAATGGCCAGCACCATCGTTTTAGGCCTGAGGTTGAGGCAGAACATCATGTCAGAGGAGCATGGTGTAGGAAAGCTGATCCGCTCATGGCAGCTGGGAAACAGGGTGGAGAGGGGCAGGAGACAAGATACACTCTTTCAAGGCACCACCTCCAATGACCTCTTCCTCCAAGTAGGCCCCACTCACTACAGTTTACCATCTTTCAATGATGCCATCAAATCATGAATCAATCTAGTAGATCAATCCATTCTTGATGTCAGAGGCTTCATGATCCAATTATTTCCCCAGAGTCCTACCTCCAAACATTGCTGGATTGGAGATCAAGCCTTCAACCCATGAGACTCTGGGAGACTTCCAGATCCAAACCATACCATGGAGAGCCATCTGTATATATAAACTTTATGTGTGTATGTGTATGTGTGTGTGTCTAACTATATAATATAATATAATATATATATTGCAATATATGTATATATATAACTATATATAATAGGTAATATACCTCACAAAACTTTATTACTATTGTTTTATAAAATCAATATTTATTTATATGTAACTACCTATTTATTTTTTCTGTTGCTAACTTCTGACATCTCTGAGCTCCTTTTAGGATCATGTTTTTCTGAATTTCTTTAATATTCCTTTTTAGTGTAGGTCTGTTGCTGATGATAAAGTTTTCTTAATTTTTGTTTGTCTACCAAGTATTTATTTTATCTTTATATTTGAGGATATTGTTCACTGGGAATTTGAATTCCAATTTGGCAGTTAATTTATTTTTATTTTCTCTAATTAGTTATACATGAAAGTGGAATGCATTTTGACACATCATGCATAAATGAAAAATAAATTCTCATTCTTGTGCTTGATGTAGTATCACAATGGTCGTGTAATCATTATGCACATAGGGTGGCAGTTAATTTTTATAGAACTTTGAGAATGTTCCATTGTCTTCTGGCTTCCACAACTTTTTCTTGAGAAGCTGGTTTTATTGTTATTCCCTTAAAGATATTTTTTTCTCTTGTCTCTAGCTGCCAATCAGACTTCTTTCTCTTTTATTTTCAGCAATTATATTTTGATATACCCGGGTATATATGTGTGTTGATGTACCTATATGTATACAGCTTTGTATTAGTATTTTGCAGTGAGTTGTTTTTTGTTTGTTTGTGGTGCCTTGTGCATTCGAGGTAAGCACTCTACCAACTGAACTATATCCCCAGCCCTTGCAGTTTTTAATCTCATATTTAGTGTTTTTCATCTGTGTGTTGTCTCTTCATATATTGCTTCTGCCCCGGTATGTCTCTTTTGCTCTTGGGATTCTGATACTAATGTTAAACTGATTCACCATGCTTTATAAGTTCCATATTTTGTTATATTCATGTTCTATGCTTTTAGCTTTCCACATTTAAATCCAGATTTTTTTTCTGACCCATCTTTCAGTTTACTAATTATTTCTTTAGCTGGAATCTGATCTTCTCTTAAACCTCATTCACTGAGTTTTAAATTTCAATTATTATATTTTTCAGTTCTAGAATGTCAATGTACTTCTATTGCCAAAAGTTTCCACTTGGCCATTTATATCTTCAGATATATTAATTACAGGGTGTAATTTTTCAAAGTTTCATAATTACAATGTTTGGCTCTCCAGAGGATCTCTCTATGGTTACTAAAAACTAAAGAAGAAACAAACAATCCTTGTCTTTTTCCATGTTCTGGTTATTTTTGTTTAGGCACTAGATACTGAGTATAAAACATTGATGTGATAATTTGAATCTCTAGATGATGTTATTTTCCTCCAAGAGAATTTACTTTTGCCTCTGGCATGTGGTTAGGCTGGGAACGGATCATGTAAATCCAATCAGAGAACAAACTCTTTCAAAGCTGGCTTTTATTCTTGTGATAGGTTGTCTAATTTTGCATCATTTTTTCTGAAAGGGTCTCTCCTGAAGGCCTGGGGTGGTTACCAGTGCTATTCCCTTTACTGAGCCCTGAATTTTACTTGTCTTCTTTCTTTCTTATAAAAATCCCTAAAGTTCTTTATAGCTTCTAAATCTTTCAGCCATAATTTTCTTCTCAGCTTCTTAGCCTACTAAGATTTACTTCAGAACTAGAAAATGCCTTGAAGTAAAAAGTACTGACAAATATCAAGCGTATCTGTCTGGTTTTCTCTCTCTTGAGGTCTTGGTGGCAAGTCCCTTGTTCCATTGATAGCTCTATAATGCCTTCAAATAATTGTTTTTGAAAAATGATGTTTTGTCTAGATGAGTGATTAGATTGAATCCCATGAAATTCGCTGTTTGCATGTGTCAAAAATGGTTGCATATTGCAATATCATATGGTTCAATCACAAGTGTTCTCGTGGGAGGGTTGGTTTGGAACAAACCACTACGATATTGCAGGAAATTGAATTGTATGACTCTAAGTGTAACCAAATGCAATGGGAACACTGGAAGAGTGTCACAAATATGACCAATACATATATCCATCTGTCATATAGATATTCTTTTCTACCAAAGAATTTTTCCTATGGAGTAAGGTATGCTTCTTATTTCTCAGGGTCAAGCTGAAATGTCAAGTCAATTATACCAGAAATCTCAAATGTAACAAAAAATATTGTCTGGATACCTGAAAATGTTATTGCTAGAAAACTATTTTTTAAAAATTTTATAACTCATTGTTCTCTTTTTTTATTTTTATGATTTTTTGAAGGATTGCTTATGGATGCCCAAATGTATTAAGTTTGGATGGTTTCTGCCCTATACACCAACAGACAACGAGTATGGGGCTTGGAAGCGCCATTACATTGCTTGTGTGTCCAACCTAGATTGGCTAACTCCCAGGGAGGCCGCTGCTATTTATGGGACACTGAATGAACCCAAAGCAGAGGATGAGGAGCTTCAGGAGAGACAGAGAGAAAAATGCCTAAGGAAAATAATTTGGGAGAAAATTGCTCTACACAAGAGTGAGTAGCATTTAAAAACATTGTGTCTTACTCAAGTGTTGTAGAAACAAATGGATTTACAGACTGATTCCTACAGAGGAGGATAGCTCTGTCTTTCTGGAACAGCCTGCGGGGTCTTCTCTCATGTATGCTCAGGGCCAATTCTTTTTCCTTTATTGTGTATTTCAAGTTAGTGGGTAACAAAAACCAAAAGACTTTAGATGAAATATATAAAGTCAAGAATCAGCACCTCCATCACTGTTCCTGTCAGGTTTTTAAGACCAAGAACAAGGAGGAGAAAGATATACACACTGAGAGTCAAGGAAGAGCTTCAGGATGGAAGAGCTGGGATTGATGCTAAAAGAGGAGAAATAAAGGCCGGGGTCGTGGCTCAGTGGTAGAGCACTTGCCTAGTACATGTGAGGTACAGGGTTTGATCCTCAGGACCCATAAAAATAAACAAATAAAATAAAAGAGGAGAAATAAAAATGGGAATGGAAGCAGAAGGAATGGCAGTAAAAAAAGTTTCTTAAAAGGGCAAAGAGAAAATAGGAATGAAGACATATTTTTAGCTAAGTCCTCTAGCCTGTACAGTGTGTTTGCTCATATATATTTTAGTTGTAGGTGGACACAATACTTTATCTTATTTTTATGTGGTGCTGAGGGATCAAACCCAGTGCCTCACACATGCTAGGCAAGGGCTCTACCACTGAGCCACAACCCCAGTTTCACATAATTGCTTATTTTAAAAATAAGCAATTAGCTAGTCATAGTTGGTGCACGCCTATAATCCCAGTGGCTCAGGAGGTTGAGGCAGGAGGATTGTGACTTCAAAGCCAGCCTTAGCAATTTAGTGAGGCCCTAAGCAACTCAGGGAAACCCTGTCTCTAAATAAAATATAAAAAGGGCTGGGGATGTGGCTCAGTGGTTAAGCACCCCTGGGTTCAATCCTGGTATATAAATAAATAAATAGATTCAACTAGACAGATTTGAGTTCTCCCTTTCCCCGCTCCCCTCCCCCCACTGACTCATCCTCTGGGGAGATTGTAACAAATGGGAAATTGCTTGGAACCAAGAAAAAGGGCAGAAATGGATGGGAAGTCTATAAATTGATGACCTGCTCTCCACAAGAAGAGTTCCTTGTCTTCTGTGCTTTTTTTCTTGACCTGAAATGACTGATAAGTCACAGCCACAGTGCTGTAAGGATGAGAAAACCTAAGAGTGTTTGCAAATGGCTGTAATTGTTGTCATCTGGAATACTGCCCTGATATAGCTTTATTGATGCCTTTATCTATGTCGACTTGGCTGGAAGAAGCTTGAAGTAAACAGCTGAGCCTGCTGGTGTTTGTTTTCCAGAGGAGTTATTCAAAGTTCGACCCCCTTGGGTGACTGGAACATGCTGCTCCAGATTGTTAAAATCCAAATACCAACCACATCTCTCCCAGACGGTGAGGGATCGAGTGGGATTACATGAAGCTTTTGAGAAACAGCTTGTTTTGGCATCAATAGAAGCTTTGCCCAAACAGTAAGCACATTTCCATCTACTGTTACCCATATAACCAATAATCCATTCTGGAATAATTTAGATAACCTGCAAGGAGCTTCAGTAATTATATGGTTCATATTCTATTAACTATCTATGGAAACAATTATTACATTTTCCAGAACAGTAGTCTTGAAAATGCTGTCTGAAGAGGGAAATGTGTAACACTGAAACCTTGCGTTTGATATATTCTTAACCTTGCAATGAGGTTATATTGTGGATGTAGTACATTTTCTGTATAAAGTTTTTGAGTAAAAATAATGTTTTCCCACAAGTGTTTTTGATGGAGCAAACATATCTAAATGGGGTCTACACTAGTCAGCTTTCTGTTGCTGTAATAAATACCCAAGATAAATAAACTTAAGAGGAGGAAAGGTTTATTTTTTGGCTCATGGGTTCAGAGCTCATGGCTCCATGGTTGTTTGGCTGTGCTGCATTGGGCCTGTGGTCAGCACAGTATATCATGGCCAGTGAGTGGCAGAGGAGGCCTGCTGGCCTCATGGAGGCTAGGAAGCAGAAAGAGTAAGGGGCTGGATCCCAATATTTCCTTCAAAAGCACACACCCCAGTGACCTAACTCCCTTCCAGTAGGCTGCACCTTCTAAAGCACTTGTCATAGGGTAATGTTGGGGTCGGGGTGGCTGTGGAGAAAATAGAGACAAGACTCAGAGACCCCTAAGTCTCAGAAGGAAATTTAAAATTTCTTGATTGCTCAGTTTTAACCCCTAAGTATATCATCACATTAACTTTAAGGGCCCAACAAAAGCCATAATGTTTCAAGACCTTTCTAACATCCCAGATGTGGGGAAGAGGAGGCCTAGGAGGACAGATGTGACTCTGCTCTGCCAGCAGCCCAAGATGTGACTCTTCTCTGCTGCTGTCCCCCAAGCCACAGGGAGAGTCTGAGACACAGAGGCCAGGTGCCCCATGCAGTGCAGCTGGAGTTCAGAGGACACAGACGCTTACTTACCAGAAGTCAAGAGAAGAGCAGTACTTCACTCACCCCTTCTCTTTCACTACAGAAGCAATGTTTCTGGAAGTCATCCATACCCTTTATTATCAAAAAAGAAAATCTGGCATGGAGTTTCTCAAAATGATGACAGCTCTTCCTATGCTTCCCAGCTACATGTCATCATAATATCATCTCGGATTCCTGCGTATGAGGTACAGACTCTTGTGAGGCCAGCCCTTTCCTGAATGGTCATTTTTCACCTACATAGAGGGTGTGTAGCAAGGTTTTGGCCACGATGTGTACGAAAATGATTCATCTCCTAAATGGAAAATTGCCTGATCTAAGTGTAAATTTACAAACCCCAAACATTTTTAAAACCGGAAACAATAAAGGTAACCATAAATCAAACTAACTTTGAAAAAGCAGTAGACAAACTGACTTGCATTTAATAGGTGTTCAGAATATTCTTATTGAAATGAATCTGTTGCACTTAATCCAAAAAACAGCATGATGATTAAGACTTATTTAAGATCTTCTCTGGAATTCCCAAAGATTTTAATAATATTACATAACCACCATCTCTCAGAAGAAGAATGTGAGAAATCGTATTCTTTGATCTAGTCCATGAAGGTACCAATCAATTAAAATATGCTTTATATATATAATAAACTTATATTTTAAATTTTAATATGAATACAAAAAAATGAATATGTAGAAGACACACTTTTTTTTTTTTTGATATACGTTAGTATTCAGACTTATCACAGTTTGACTTAATGAGTTTTTGACTTTCTCATGCAAGGCATGAAAGCCAGAGACATTCAGTAGAAACCAGTCTTTGAATTTTGAATCTTGATCTTTTCTGGGGCTGGTCATAAATGGTATGATCCTGTCTGGCAATGCCAGGTGGCAGCAGCAGGGAGCCACAGCTACCAGTCAGCCCTGCGATGGGGATCACAGCAGGCTCTGTGTGCTGTGTGTGCTGTGTTGTTGGACGGGCATGCTTGGTAGGTTAGAGGTATGAAATGAAACGCAGTTTTGACGTGGGATGTTTTCAACTTACAGTGGGTTTGTAGGGGCGTAACTCTGTAAGTTGACGAGCATCTGTATATATGGATGTGTTTGTATTAATACACACAAAGAGATGAAGAGGATCACATTCAGCAGGCTACATTCATTGGCCTATTTAGAAAGTTTATCAGAAAGTTCCTATTTGTAACAAAATGGCTGTTTTGAAGATGTGAAATTGCTTTTTTAGGGCATGGAGGAAGTGGCTCTAATCATTGTCAGCCGGTGAGCTCAGCAGGTCTATGAGAGAATAAGTTCAGAGCTGTGATCTGCGTGTGTGCCACAAGTAGTTCCCCTAATGCTAAAAAAAGGTACCTTTGGCACAGAGGATCATTGATGACCCCTTTCCACCTTCCAAATGCCACCTGTTTTCAAGGTCCACCTATAGTTTACGATCTCAGAAGTATGCCTATATCATCCTAGTCCACAAAAATCTCTACATTTTCTATATTTCTGATAATGACTCAAATCAGATTTGATTTCTTTGTGGTAGTTAATAAAATATTGCCTATTTTATCTGTGTGCACTAATAAGTTGGTCAAGTCCATTTCCCTGTTTGTCCTCTTTTACGTAAGACTATGGCACAATTATTTATTTGACTATGAATGTTGGGGAGTTTAAGTAAAAAGTGGAACATAACCACATGGTAGTTCTCTGGTCAGTTGAACTGAATCAAGAACGTGGCATGAGGTTTTGGAAAAGGCAGCAGCTTTAATGACTTCTCAACCTGTCTGACACTATGAATTAACTTTATCACAGTGCTTGGCTATTGAATTAACAGCATTTTTAAACATTGATTTAAATGGGAAATATTTATAAACTGATATTGATAATTCAAAAATTCATAGTGAAAAGGAAAATTTAAATCCAAGAAGTTCATTGCAGTATTGTATGATCTCGATTTTATCATTTTTAAGTTATATATGTATATGATATATTTATATATTTTATATACATTTTAATATATATGAGTATATAAAATACATAAATATATTTAAAAATATATATTAATATTAAATATAAATTAAAATACATATGCATATATTTGTGCATAGAGTATACAAAGGTAAAAAGACTAAACGAAAATAACCTAAATTGTTAAAAACATGTATCTCTGAGTGATGGAGTTGCAAGTACACTTAATTTTCTCCTCTTGTAATTAGAAAAGGAGTACAATAATTTTAAAGGGAATCAATTAAGAAGGAAACTTAGCTTCTTCCTTCCATGATTTCCGAAAAACAAAAACCTCCTTAGCAGTCACAGTACATTATATATCCATTATAATTCTCCTATTAGTAAACATTCTAAAATAACAGACCCTGGTCCTGTAGCTGTGTTTGTTTTCTAGATGGTGGTGGACAGCGTGAAGGCAGGTGTGATTTCTGTGGTCTGTGAACACGGCGGCATGACCTTGGAGAGCCTTCTCTACCTCATGCGGAAAGCCCTGCAGGGGCGGAAGGCACAGAGCATAGGAATCCTGAGTGATGGAGATAGCAGAGAAATCAATTTACTTCAAGGTGGGACTGGGGATTGGTGAAGAACAGCCAGACAACTTTGCACTTATGCAGTGTTTGTCCACTGAATAACTTTAATATTAATTTTCAATTTGCTAAGAAGTGTTGATTTTAGCTTAAGAGCATACTCACATTGTTGCGAAATAGCTGTCCAGAACTTTTTCATGTTCTCAACTCAAACTCTGTGTCTACTCAACAATAATTTCAATTGTGACTAATTCTCTTCCCTTCTCATAATCCCTGGCAAACGTCATTCTACTGCACTTTAGATTCCTCCTACAAGTGGAATCACATTTGTCTTTTTGTGACGGATGTATTTCACTTAGCATAATGTCCTCAAGATTCATCCCATGTTGTAGCATGTGACAGGATTTCCTTCTTTTGAAAGTGAATAATATTTCATTGTATGTTTATGCCCCATTTTGCGAATCAGTTTGTCCATCCATTTGTTACTTCCATATCTTGGCTGCTGTGAATAGGGGTCTGCAAATATCTCTCTGAGTTTTTGCTCATAATTATTTTGGATGTGATTGCTGGGTCTCCCATGGTAGTTCTATTTTTGTTTTGGTGCTAGGAAGTAAACCCAAGGGCCACTTTACCACCGAGCTGCCTCCACAGCCTTGAATTTTTTTGAAACATGGTCTTGTTAAATTGCTGAGGCTGATCTTGAACTTATGATCCTTCTAATTCATCTTCCTGAGACACTGAGATTACAGGCATGTGTCACCACACCTGGTAGTTCTATTTTTAATTTCTGGAGAAATCCCCATATAGTTTTCCATGGCTGTTTTGTCAATGTGACATAAGTGTTTCAGTTTTTCTAAATCCTTAATTTGTTCTTTCCTCTCCTTTTTTGGGGGGGGGAGGGTGGGTCGTGGGGGCGGTACTAGGGATTGAAGTCAGAGGCATTAGATAATTAAGCCAAATTCTCAGCCCTATTTTGTATATTTATTTAGAGACAGGGTCTCACTGAGTTAGTTGCTTAGTGCCTTGCTTTTGCTGAGGCTGGCTTTGAATTCGCAATCCTCCTGCCTCAGCTTCCCAAAGTGTACCACTGCACCTGGCTCTTTTCTTTTTTTGAATAATACCCATCCTCATTGTTTTTGACTGGCATTGCTCTGATATTGAGTGATGAGTGATGTTTGGCCATTGGTGTCTCTATCGATTTATCTACCTATATCTATGTATCTAAATATGTCTACATATATATTTTTGTGTGGTACTTGGGATTGAACCCAGGGGTGTTCTATCACTTAGGTACATACCTAGCCCTTTTTATTTTTTATTTTGAGACAGGGTCTCATTGAGTTCCTGGAGCTGACCTCAAACTTGATATTATCCTGCCTCAACCTCTCAAATTGCTAGAATTATAAGCATGTGCCACCATGCTAGGCTAACAGTCACCCTTTTAGGGGCTGGGGAGAAATGATGAGTTTTAGAAGTAAATTTCTAGTTTCTTTTCTCCCTTATAGAACTTGAATTCTCCCCTGCCTATACCTAAAAAAGGATTTACTGTCATCAAATATTCCATCCTTGTGATTTGAGGGAGGAGGGAACAAGATGATCAAAGATCCAGCTGGTAGGAAATTCACAAAATGGTGTAGTGAGTCCCTGAATCACTTCCCAGGAAGTGAAGCAGAGGAGAGTGGCAGTTAATGTTTGGTGACTCTGGGAGCCTTACATCTGCTCTGAACTACTTATGTGTTGATTGATAATTGTGGGAAGCATTTTGACTTTGGAACTTGGTTGCAAGATCCCAGGACTTGACCGGCTATTCCCTGTGAACTCTGTGTGAGCCTGGTGACTCACACCGCTGCAAGGTGGAGACAGAAATGCAAAGCCCAAAGCCAAAGCACACCATGTCCAGTTGTTCCACAGTGTGAAGGACACTCTGCCATGGGGGTGTCCAGTGGCATCTTAGTGGCCTGAACGTGGTGCAGCATGAAGTCCGGAGATCTTGGTCTTATGGGCAGATGTTGGCTTTCTGAATCTGTGTTTGCACACTGCTGTTCATGATAATTTCACAAACTAATATGACATTTTGATTTGTCCCCCTCAGGCTATAAAATTGGTATTAAAAATTTACTGAGGCCTGAAGTGAGAGACTTCTGGGAGAAATTAGGCAGCTTTGTAGCCACCAAAGAAGAAGGGGGTCATGTGGACTTATTTGTGCCTCTTGGAGCATCAGGTGAGCTTTTGACATACCATAGAAAGAAGTGGTCACACGTACTTTATGATGTTCCTCTGTGAATTTATGAAGTGCTCGTAGAGCAAATGATTCAGTCACACTTCACTTTTACTTTTCTTTATATGTCATATACCCAGGAAAGAAGGGTTTGGGGATAGTGATCAGAATAACCTGTCTCTGCAGAAATAGTCACGTCTGGTAAGACTCAGCAGCATCATTTCTATTTATTCTGGAAACAAAAATCAGTATCCATAATATGGGGGAAGGTACCTGGCCAGCAGAGGAACAATTATCAACAGTCTGAGAAAAACTGCTCCTTCAGTGATTAGAATCTTGAATGAACATGACCTTGGTGACCAAGGTCCTGGACCTGAGTCTGCCCATGCTGTTTGTTAGCTGTGTGGCCACAGGCAAGTTTGTGGCTGTTTCCTCACACAGAAATTAGGAGTTAGTAACTTACCTGACCATAAGGACTTGCAAATATAAAAATAATATAAATATTTTGGGCTGTGGCTGTGGCTCAGTGATAGAGCACTCACCTAGCACATGCAAGGTGCTGGGTTTGATCCTCAGCACCACCTAAAAATAAATAAATAAATAAATAAATAAATAAAGGTATTGTGTTCAAATACAAGTAAAAATATGTTAAAAATTATAAATATTTGCATAATAAAAATTAAAATAAATAGATAATATTAAAAACAGTGAAGTGCTTTATAAAAATAAGCATGGTTGGTGATCAGTAAAGTGGCCCACCTGTCTGGAATTTATGAAGCAGAGAAGAGGAGAGGGAGCATGAAATTAAAATTTCTCAGAATGCTTCTTATTTGTCATTCTTGAAAGTACTGTGAGTTTTGAACCTTTTTTTTTTTTTTTTTTAATACTGGGGATTGAACCCAGGGGCACTCAACCATTGAGCCACATCCCAGTCTTTTTTTTGTATTTTTATTTAGAGACAGGGTTTCACTGAGTTGCTTAGAGCCTTGCTAAGTTGCTGAGGCTGGCTTTGAATTTACAGTCCTCTTGCCTTAGCCTCCAAGGCCACTGGGATTACAGGTGTGCACCACCACACTCAGCTTTAATCCTCAAATTTCACAGGACTATTTAATACATGCAAAGGGAAGGAAAAATGAAAAAGATGGAGAGGGATAAAAAATGAAACAAAGTGCTGGGTGCTGAGTGTGGTGGTGCATATCTGTAATCCCAGCAACTCAGGAGGCTGAGGCAGGAGGATCACAAGTTTAAGATCATCCTCAACAACTTAATGAGGCCCTAAGCAACTTGGTGAGACCTTGTCTCAAAATAAAAAATAAAAAATGATGGGCTGGGTTCAATCCCCAGTACCCCCTGCCGAGATGTACAAAATAATGTACAAAAATTATAAATAACTACCTCTGTAAAGTTATCACACACACACACACACACACACACACACACAATGTGAACCATACAGAAAATATATATATAGAAAAATATATATAGAAAAACCTAGGAGGAAATGTACCAAAATATTGGCAAGCAGCATCCATTTCTATAGGTGCTTTACAAATTCCCTACTTTAGAAACCACTTTTAAAAGATAGGTTACAAAGGACATGGATGGTTTGATCCCACTGTTTAAGACATTTGTGCATGAGAGGTGGACAGGGTGGTGATGGTGTATGGATAGAAAAGGGTCTGGAAGAATGTGTACACAATGCTAATAGAAATCAAATAGAATGATAGCTGAGTTTTTATCTTTTTTTAAACTTTTAAAAATAATTAGTTTGTCCCTATATTCTAGAACAAAACAATATTACTTTCATAATGATAAACAAACAAACAAATTTTTGTGGTGCTGGGAATCAAACCCAGATCCTTGTTGATGCAGGGCAAGTGCTCTACCAGTGAGCTACAATGCCAGCCTACAAGAGCAAAATTTTTAACTGGAGAAGAAGAAATAGCAACAATATGGAAAGGTGAGGAACAAAGAGAGGATTTATCAATATAAATATCATCTTAAGTTAAGCTTAATGATACCCCCCAAAATACATTTCTTACATTTTGGGCCCTAACAACATCCCTAAAATTCTCATCAAATACAATATTTCCTAGATGAACCATTGAAGACCCACAAATATCTGTCCTCCAAAATATGCCTCTTCCCATCTTAAGTATCACTTTCCCCCCCCCTTGCTAAGTTGCTCAAGCTGGTCTTAAACTCTTGGGATCAAGTGATCCTCCTGCTTCAGATTCCTGAGCATCTGGGACCACAGGTGCCCCCACCACACCTGGCTTCTGGCATCACTCTTGAGATTATTATCCCCATGAGCTGTGACTGCAGCAGTTGTCTCTGATTCCCACTTCTAAATCATGTGCTCAAATATTCCCACTTAGCAATTCTTTTCCTGAAGCCCTCAAGTCCACACACTCCCACTTTTCCCTTCTATTGCCTTTCTGTCCTCCTTGGTCCCTCCCTTGATGAACCTGGATTTAATGATCCCACATTTCAACACAGCCTTGCAAAGATTTGGAACTTCCTTGCCTCTTTCTTCTGGTAAATACCAATGCTGGCTTACAATAAACCATGGGCATACACTACTCCCACTTGCATTAAAGCAGCTGAAGATGGTTGGGGAAAGTAATAGCATTGTTCTGACCAGTCCAACTCTACTGGGATGACATCAATATCAAGTGTGATAGCAACACTGATGAGCAATCTTTCCATACTTCCTTGGTAGATTCATTGTCCCACTCTTTGAGATGACAATTTCATCCTTTCTCTCCAGGCAGTCTTTCAAAACCCATCTCTTTGTGTTGACCTTGCCTCTTATTTTCCTAAGAAAGCTGAATCATTTGGAAACTCCCTAATTTTCCTCCCACCACCTTCCCCGCCCTTGTCTTCATTCTTACTCTTCCCATATTTTACCATGGAAGAAGGGCCCCTGCCCAAAGATCGGCCGCTCACTCAATACCTCATTATCACTCTCCTGTAGACTTTAATCCCACACTCAGATCCTTCCCCAGAGCCTCAATTCTCCCTCTGTCATATGCTCCCTAAAAAATCAGGAGCATCTCTAGCATCTCCCTGTCTTTAACAAAAAGACAAACTTTCCCTCATCATTTTTTAAGTATAGTCACCTCAGTGATTCTCAAACTTCAGTCTATCTATGAATCACTTGGAGGGTTTGTTAAAATACACATCAGTGGGCTCCACCCTAGAGTTTTTGGTCCCATCAGGTCTTGGGGCTGGAGGATTTTTATTTCTAACAGGTTCCCCTGAGATGTTGCTGCAACCCCACTTTGTGACCTACTGATCTATACTGATTGTCTCTTCTTTACCCACTTCTGCCTTTTTGGAAGCTAGAAGTGACTTTCATGTACTCAAATCCCAGTGGTCCCTTCCTTCTCATCCCTTGCTTAGACTTCTTGGAAGCATTTGATGCAGAGGAACATGCCTGCTCAAAACACTCCTCTTGGTTTCTCTAATACCATGCTCTCCTTGTTTCCCTCCCACCTCAGTGACCTTTCTTCTAGGTCTTCTTTGCTTGCTTCTCATTTGTGGATATGTGTACACAACCGTGCCTGATTTTTATATAGCTCATAGAAGAGTAGTGGATATACGATAAATCACATATACTTAAAGTGTATGATTAGATAAATTTTGACTTGTGTATTCCTGCCCTGTGATCATAAAATAGTCAAGGAGATGAACATGATCATCAACCCAACATCAACAATTTCTCTCCTGCTTCTCCTCTCCCCAACCTGAGGCCACTACTGATATACTTTTTTTCCCACTAAATATTAACTTACATCTTTTATAATATTCTATAAATGGAATCATGTAGCATATATTTTTTTGGTCCAACTTCATTCAGTGAGAATAATTATTTTAGGTTCATCCACTGAATGCAATCAATGGCTCATTTCTTTTTACTCCTGGGAATTATTACTTTTCATGGATACACCATAATCATAGACAATGACAGATTATGTAGGTAACTTCAAAATCTATTAACAGATAGACACATTCATTTATCTCTTGATATAAATTTGAATTCTTTTTTGTTTCTGGCTTTTAGGATTAAAGTTGCTGTAAACATATGCTTTCATTTCTCTTGGATAAATATCTAAGAGTGGAATGACTGGGTCACATGATAAGTGTGTGCTTAACTTTTTTAAAAACAGCTAAACTATCTCCCAGAGTAACTACTTATTTATGCCACTTAACATTTCCAGTAGGAATATATGAGAACTCCAGTTGCCCAATGCTCCAGTACTTGATCTGGTCAGCTGTCTTAACTATTCAAATGAATGTGTAGTGGTATCTTGTTGCATTGTGGGGTGGGTATTGGGGGTTAAACCCAGGGGACCTTTACCACTGAGCTACATCTCCAGTCATTTTTGTTTTTAATTTTGAGACAGGTTCTGCTAAGTGGCATAGAACCTCATTAAATTGCTGAGGCTGACCTTGAACTTGCAAGCCTTCTGATTCAGCCTCCTGAGTTACTTGGGCCTTGGGCCACCATGCCTGGCCTATCTCATTGTATTTTTAATTTTCAGTTTCCTAATGACTCATGATGCTGAGCATTTTTTCATGTAATTATTTACCATTCACTTACCTTGGTGAAATTTCTGTTCAAATATTTTACATATTTGAAAAACAATGTTGTTTATTTTCTTCTGTCTGTGACTAATATTTTCCTTTTCTGAATGGTTTCATTTGAAGAGTAGAAGTTCTTAATTTTGATGAATCAAATTTATCATTTTTAATTTTATAAATCATGCCTTTAGTGTCATATCTAAAAACTCTTCATTTAACCATAGGTCATAAAGATTTTCCCCTATGATTTGTAGGACTTGATTTATAGTTTTAATTTGACAGGTATGTGACCCATTTTATTTATTTATTTTTTAGTAGACTATGAGGCATGGGTTAAGGTTAAATTTTTTTACCATATGTATATCTAAGTTTTCCAGCACCATTCCTTTTAAAGACTGCTCTCTCCACAGTGATTTCATTAGCATATTTGTTGAAGTCAGTTGACTCCATGCATGGAGGTCCACACTTGGATTCTGTAATTGAAACGTTAGCCGTCAGTAAGTCAGAAGCATCTAAACTTCCACCTCTCTCATCTTGTTCCAAACAGTAATTGAACAGTTTGAAGTAAATATTTACTCTTGGTCCACAAAGGACTAAAATGCATTACTCATTACATTATTTTATTCCAAATGATTCAATCTATACACTAAATTCAATAATCTGATCTATATGCTGTGTCATTGAGGTAGGGAGGAAACTAAATTTTGGCCCTGTATTGATTTGTATTTTAATTATGTCTGTCCTCTTACAATGAGAACTCTCCTTTAAGTCAGACTATTTTAAAAAATATATGTAGCTTTTCCCTGTCTTTGGGCTGAGAATTCCAAATTTATAAATAACCACTGTGCCCAGCTCCTTGCCCTCTTTCCCCACTCTACTGTTTAGTCTTCATGAACTAAAGGGTTGAGCTTCAGTGTTAAGGGGTGAAACATAAAGTTTTTTTTTTTGGGGGGGGAGGCGTACCAGGGATTGAACCCAGGACACTTGGCCACTGAGCCTCTTCCCCAGCCCTATTTTGTATTTTATTTAGGGACAGGATCTCACTGAGTTGCTTAGTGCCTCGCCATTGCTGAGGCTGGCTTCGAACTCACAATTCTCCTGTCTCAGCTGCTGGGATTACAGGCGCACTACCATGCCCAGCTAAACATGAAGTTTTAATGGACTATTTAAAGGCAGGATTTGAATTGAAGGTGACAACTGCTAGTGAGTTTTCTTGGCTGAGCCCTTTGTGCTTCTAAGTGGTATTTAACAATACCTGGTAAAACCTGTGAGTAAACTAATACAAGTATTTTTGGCTATGCAGAGGCAGGCATAGAAGTGCTCTCTCAGCTGTCTCAACTAACTGGCACATTCTTTACTGCCCCCACTGGGATTGCAACTGGCTCTTACCAACACAGTAAGTGCTTATGACTGGTGACTATGCCCAACAACATACACCGACTCCAGGATCACTAGAAGACAAGAACACTTGATAATCATGCCGTGGCCAATGTCAACATCTGCATTTCATCCCTTCTCTAAAGGAATGCTATCATTCCACAAATTATGTAATTTCATATCACTGAGTCTTTTGTTTAGAGGGGATTATTTATTACAAATATTTTCCTTCAAGAAATCATTTACAAAATCTTGGTTGAAATTATCACCAGCAAGAGTTAAGCAAGATGTATAGTTGCTGATCTAGAAAAACAATAAGTACAAATAATAGTTTTTCTTGGTAAAATGTAATCAGAATGCATTTCTTTGGAAAAACAAAACTGTAGCTATAAGGAGGTGTTAACAGAGTCCCATTTAGATCCCATTTCAGTAGCATTATCTGAGAAGAGAAACAAAGAGAAAATATACTAGAAAGCAAACTTTCATCTAGATTCTAAAGCTTCAAACATTAGATCAAAATGTAATATTGGCTGAAAAACAAGAGAACAAAATTGCTTTGCTACAGTAACATGAGTCATTTTTTCCCTTTAAAACTCCCTTGCTTTCTATTAACAGGGGATGATGGAGAAACTATATAGAGCTTTACTTCTCTATTCCCCAAATGCCAGGGGCCATTCAAGACTAGGAAAGTTGGCATGATTGGGAAACTTGTAAGGGAAAGGACTCTGTGCGGAGGTAACAAAAAGCACATTGTTTTATAGTTTTGAAGCAGAAATTACTTGTTAATTTTAGTTCAAATAACAACACCGCCCTATGACAGCCCCATGACGAGAGGAATCGGCCTAGCTGGGCAGAGCAGGGCGTGGGCACTGTCATTTACAGTGTGGAACAGGCTTTCTTCTTTTCCTCCTCCTCTGCCTCTCCTTCCTCTGGTTTCTCTTCCTTTCCCCTCTCTTTTTCTCATTCTCCTTATAAAAGAACCTATTATAAAAAATTTCACATTTATCAATGAAATTTTGGTAAACAACCTAAGTAAGATTATCTCTCCATTAAGGACAGAAAAAGCAGATTTATCATACCCTGCATCTTCTAGTCTTGCTTTTTAAGAAAGCTTTTTCTTTTTTAAAATATCTTTTAGTTGTAAATGGACACAATAGCTTTATTTTATTTATTTATTTTTATGTGGTGTTGAGGATTGAATCCAGTGCCTCACACATGAGACGCAAGAGCTCTACCACTGAACTACATTCCCAGTCCTCAAGGAAACTTTATTTAAAGCACCCACTGGAGATATTTGCAGAAAGAGATAGCAGTTTGTCCTAATTTAAGAAAGATACAGGGTTGGCTTTGTATGGCATGATGGGGAATGGAAAATGATGAATGGAATTTTCTAGTACTTTCACTTTTAAGATGAATAGATAAAGCAATACATTCTTGCTAAACTGACTGCTCTGCTTCCCAATGCACATGCAGTAGCTATTTAATTTTTGATTTCAAGTAGAATATATCAACCTTTCTATGATGAATAGACAGGCATTTAAAATGGTTCTTTATGTCCTTTTGAGTTTTGAATCTTACTCTTAACATCTTGGTCTTCTAATGGGGAAGGATATAAACCTAGTACAATTGGGGCTTTGTTATACTTTAAACAAGAAGTAGAATCTTTTCATCTGAGCTCAACTCCACAATAATAAAAGGAAAAAATAATGTTAGTTCTTAGTGACTGGCTGGGACCTCAGCAGGGTGGGCCTCCTCCTTCCATCTACTTCAATGAAGCCAAGCTACAGATGTGGTCCAACCTCACAGACTTCCTGGAAGATGCCTTGAAATCAGTGAGGAGAGAGTTAAGACCTCTCTTCAAGGAGCTGCAGAAGGGCATCAGTGGCAGGATGATAGGTAAGTACGCTGGCAGCTTCTAACGCAGGTGCATTATGAAGTTCATTAGGAATGGTACAAGCAAAATTTAACTCTTGAACATCTTCAGTAAAACATTTATCCCCTTGTTTTGTATTTTATTTCAAATAATGAATACCTACTAAGAAAAAAATATATCCATGGTTTCTGTTTTTAAAATATACCATCTTATTAATTCCTGTGTCTGTCAATTTGGCCTAGACCAAATCTGCTGTTTGCGGAGCCAGACCAAACAGTTTGCTCTAAAAGTTAACACCTGGCACTTAACATCCTAGTTAAGCCGCTTTTACATTACTGCAGCTATTATATAAATTGTTCTAAAGTTTAAGTTCTATTTCCTATCTATCTAAATAATATAATTTGGTGATAGCTCCAATTTGCAGAGCCTGGTGGACATCTCTTAACTTATTTTCCCATTCAGACTCCATTCCCATGATCAAAATATCACAATCGTCCCTGGAGAACAACTTAGTGTGTCAGCTTTCAATCTTCAACTAGATCAGTCCATTCTTTAAAATGAAGTCTTTTTCATCATCTAGATAAATTCCCCTCTGCCTCATTTATAACCTCTTTCAATTTTTCTCAGTACTTTCCATCTGATTAAAGCCCTATATCACTGTAGTCATTATGGCCGTATTCCTTTCTTCCCTTTCCTCCCCTGATTAAATGTCTATTTACGTAGCTACTGTCTGCACAAGAGCAGTAACACCTGTGCACACAGGTATTTTATCCATCAATAAACGTTCTACATCTCTTTGTAAATGCCTCCCATTAACACAGGGCTTTTCCTCTTATTTTCTTGTACTTTGGGAGGTGTCCAGCAATGTTTTTAAGTACTTATGAAATTAATCACAGGAAGTAATTATTTCCCCTGGTTCTTTCACACATATAAAGACCAGACAGAAAAATGGAAAGATAGATTTTTTATGTGTGTGTGGTGCTGGGAATTGAACCCAGGGCCTTGTGCATGTGAGGCAAGCACTCTACCAACTGAGCTATATCCCCAGCCCAAAAGGTAGATTTTTAAAGATAGAATTTTTTTAAAAACAGTTGAACCCACCCAGTGGTACTTAACCATTGAACCACATCTCCAGCCCTTTTTATATTTTATTTTGAGACAGGATCTCGATAAGTTGCTGAGGCTGGCTTTGAACTTCCAATCCTCCTGCCTCAGCCTCCTGAGTTGCTGGGAATATAGAAGTATGTTTTTGATGCTACATGTAGGCAGTGATAAGCCAATGAAAAAAACTTGTTTTCAAATAAAAGCAAGTTGTTCAAATACCAAAAAAAAAATTTAAAAGATGTATTTAAATATAAATTAAAATTTAAAAAATATATTTTTCCTATGGACTTATAAAAATTTTTACTTCTATTTAAAATATATTTTTTTCCTATGGACTTATAAAAATTTTTACTTCTATTCTTTGCATTTTTGTTTGTCCAACTAAAGAGCAGCAGTGAGGACTGAGTTTTTTTCCTTTTTGTTTGCATATCTTACATAAATTAATTATAGGACAAATGACCTTGTATTTACAGGGCAATTTATGTTTGACTCCATGAGTATGGCAAGCATTCTGAATAACCAAGACATTGCACAAGCTCTGGCAGATGGTCTGATGGAGCTGTCAAAAGAAAATTCTGTAAGTGTTTCACTGAAGAAAGCAAACCAGAAAAACCACAATACTTAAATTCTTAACTTGGACTTATCATTTTTTAAACCATAATTTCTTAGAGAAATTACATCAGTTTATAAAACTAGCCATGGAGAGATTCTAGGCCTGAGATGTGTTAAGTATCCAGAATATGTTCTAGGCCAAGAACATATTCTGGATACTTAAAATATACTGTGCACTATTTTGTCTTGTGCTTAATTTCAATCAGAAGTGACTTCTTTAAGAGAGATGTTAATTTTATACAACACAATATATATTTCACATAGTGAAAACAATCATTAGTATAAGGGAAAAATGTGTGAAACCAGACATAGAAAGGTGAAGGACGAGGGGGTTAGATGAGGGGATGGGAAAGAAAACACAAAGGAATAGAAATAAACAAATCAGCAATTTGGTTGGTGGCAGGTCTGCGGAACCCAAAGAAGTATTCTTATTAAAACCAAATCTTGGATGCTGTGGCAGGAAAGTCAGTCCACATTTCAGAAGACAATGAGGAGAAGTTAGACAGAAGGGTTCCCTCTTTCTCCCCTCAAGATGATAGTGAGGCTCAGGGAAAATGAAATGTGCTGCTGGCTGTTTGGGGGCCACTGGAAATAAGAATGATGTTGACTCTCAACACTGTCTAAACTTCAGTTTCCAAGAGAAGTTTCTCCAGTCCTCTTCTATTGTGGTCACGCTAGTTTGTGGGTGAATTGCATATTGTCTTTGCACACATTCTGTCTCCATGTTACTGGGCATCTCCTCTGATTTCTAGATGGTTTCCTGGATCAGCACCAGACTTATGCATTATACAGGCTTAGCTGTACTGCGTGGAGTTGCAGTTAGCTGTGATTTGTTTTCTCTGAAGGCTTAGCTTCGCAGTACTTAAGTCAAGGTGCACCAGCCCAGTGAGTTAAGACCCTGGTGAGCTCTGTTGCTAAAATGAGCAGGGATGTTCACAGAGCTGGCCCTGGAGGCCTGGAAAGATACTGCACTTTCTCTCAAACACCAAAGAATTACTAAACATGTTTGGTGCAGGTTCAGAAAACTTATTGCCACTAATTACTTAAAAAAGAATTATGTATGATATAATTTTGAGGGTGCAAAAGCCCATAGTGTGAGAGTGGAGCCTCAGGGTGTGTTTCCTACCCACCCTGACGCTGCTGCCTCTCTCCCAGGCCAACCTCCTTCCCTGAGAGACAGCAGAATCCCTCCTGCTCCCTGTCCTCTTTTGGCCAAGGGGTTGGTGTGGACGACTTTGGGTATGAAGATCTTGAAAGACCATTGCACAAGACGTTGACCTGCTAATCACATTGTGACAAAAAGCCAAGAACAAGGAGCATATATTATAGCCAGAATGAAATTAATTAGAAAGTCCCATTTGCCCACTATAAGAGTTATTTTTTTTCTGGATATATACAATAATTAGGTAGAAATCTGAAAACTTGGCTAAAAAGTGTTCTCTTTTCTGCTGTACCCTTGATTACTCATATTTCAGATGAATGCTTTAAATTGTATTTTTTGTGGGGGGGCATTTTTCAGGAAAGGCCTCTGGAATTTTTGGCATGTTTTCTGCTGAAGAAATGTAGTAAAAAGAGCAAAGATGAAGGAAATGTTATTCTGACAAAATGTGACCTAAAAGAAACACTTGATTTGTTCACAAAGGTAAAGTTGCATCTTGATGCCATTGTTTACTGTAGTTTTAGGCACATGAGGGGAAGAAATTAGTAAGTAATAATGCTAGCTTTTCCTGGAAAACTTTCAACTTGTCATTTCTCCTCAGAACTTCATTTTTCATGGACTGTTTTTATTTTATTTATTTTTTTATTTTTAATTTTTTTTAAATTTTTATTGTTGGTTGTTCAAAACATTACATAGTTCTTGATATATCATTTGATTCAAGTGGGTTATGAACTCCCACTTTTACCCCGTATACAGATTGCAGAATCACATCAGTTACACATTCATGATTTACATATTGCCATACTAGTGTCTGTTGTATTCTGCTGCCTTTCCTATCCTCTACTATCCCCCCTCCCCTCCCCTCCCCTCTTCTCTCTCTACCCCCTCTACTGTCATTCATTTCTCCCCCTTGTATTATTTTTCCCTTTCCCCTCACTTCCTCTTGTATGTAATTTTGTATATCCCTGAGGGTCTCCTTCCATTTCCATGCAATTTCCCTTCTCTCTCCCCCTTTCCCTCCCACCTCTCATCCCTGTTTAATGTTAATCTTCTTCTCATGCTCTTCGTCCCTACTCTGTTCTTAGTTACTCTCCTTATATCAAAGAAGACATTTGGCATTTGTTTTTTAGGGATTGGCTAGCTTCACTTAGCATAATCTGCTCTAATGCCGTCCATTTCCCTGCAAATTCTATGATTTTGATGGACTGTTTTTAAAAAAGGCATTTTGTTGTTCCCTAGCATGAGTAGCATTTAAGCCATTTCAACTGCTTGAGTAACAATACTTGGTTGTGGGAGAAAAGTACAATAAAAAAAATTGGAAATTTGCATTTTATCTTGTTGCTTATTCTGTTGTTGGGTCCTAAGATAACTTGAATTTTTTTTTTCATTTAAACTTTTGGTTTTTTTTTTGGGGGGGGGGGAGCCAGAGAATTTTTTTCTTAGGTTGAGATTCATATTTATAAAAGAAAAAAATTTAGGTTTAAAGCTAGCTCTTCAGGAAAAAAAAATACTTTTGGCAGTACTGAGCTCAAAATCCACACATTCTTTGTTACATGAAATAATCAGGATTCAGGAAACACTGAGAATCACATTGTCATTCACAGAGCTGATTTCTAGATAGGGGAAAAGGTTATATTAGAACCATTTTTATGTTCAAAGAAAAGTCACCCATCTTTGGTATCTGAAGGCCTAAGTCCCACAACACAACTTGCCATTTAGACTGTTAGTAGGAATAGCTGTGAGGATTTCCTTAGTAGGTGAATCATCTGTTGCTTTATTAACCCAATATTCTGAAAGTATTTGTCAGTGCTTTGTTCAAGGATAGCTTAGTGCCAGCAGACATGGAGGATTTCAGGGAAGTATCCCCTCTTGCTAAGGTGCCCTGGACTGACTTAGCAAAACAAAAGATCTCAATTATTAAAACCCACCCAACTGAGATTGAGTCACCTCTGTTCCCCACCAAATTCCTTATTCTTCCCAAACTCAATCATCTCCCTGAGAGGAGTCATAAACAAACATATTGCAGGATCTCTAAACTCTTTTTAGGATGGACCTCTGCTGGCCCACTGCCCAGGCTAAGTATGTTTTTTTCAGGAAACACTCCTAGACCACTTCTTAGGCAGAGAACAACTCCCTTCTTTTCAGTTCAGTTTCCTAATAATTACAGGAGCTAACCATTTGCTAGGTGCCATGCTAGATTCTGGGAATAGAGAGCTCAATGAGACATAGTCTCTGTGAGTGGCTGACAGCAGCACAGCAGATGGTAAGTGGTGGTGGTTAACAGAATGTGCAGGCTGGGGGACACACCAGGGCTGGCTGTTCATGCACACCCCCTTTTCCACTTCTCAGAGGCTGCTGCTTTTGCCTTGTCAGGGCAGCCACCTCTCTGAGATTTGGGTGTGTGTTTAGTCTGTATCTATCTTTCCGCCTGGGAAAGCCATTTAAAAATAATCTTACTCATTTTGCCTTCATTCACATGACCCACATGTGACTGTATCACACAGGTTTCAAATTCTCTCAAAGTCCTTATGAGACTTGGGTGATCCTGACTCCCTGGAAACTTTATTGGAGTTTCTTTTACCCGCTACCAACCCAATAATACCTGCCTATGAAGCAGGCAAACTTGAAGAAAGCAGTAAGGACAAATCTGTACATGCTTCCTCCTCTGAAGTGTCACTTTTACATGTTAAAGACCTAACTACTGGGAGAACTACTTGTGGAATCTCTACACCTACAGCAATGGTCACCAGAACAATTCCTTTCAAAGATGCTTTCCTCCTTGATCTTTCTTAAATTTCTTCTGCCAAATAAAATCCACACTGGAGTCAAGTCTTGTCAACCTACTGTTGACTGAAACATCTAGTCATGTTAATAAAATAATGCATGAAGTGTGGGCTTGGAGCTGCCTGTTGCTGGAAATCAGGTTACTCTCCTTCTGTCATCTGCCTGTAATAAAACTGCATCAACAAGGATCACCCTGACACCTCAGAATCTCTTTAATAGCTTTTCTTTTTTAATGTCAAGTTAGAAATAATATGTGTTAGATTCTCATTTTGTTTTTATTATTTAACATTTAATATGTTGTTCACAGGTTTATGAAACAAACTTGGGCACTCTTTAGAGGAAAAAAAAACCCAGTTTAAACATAAGTGCTGACTTACGTTAAAATAGAGAATCTGACTTTCTTTACATCTTGGGGTGTGTTTTTAAACCTGACTGTTTTTACCAAAGAGCACCCAAACTTTCAGCCATAGGAGTAGAAATAGTAGCTTCTCTAAGATGATTGTTCTCAAGAACCTCCCCTAAGTCCTGTGTAACAGGGCTGTCTGTCAAATTCAGGACTCCATATGTCTTTCTTTTCTTTCCTTCCTTTCTTTTTCCCCCTCTATCTACCTATCATCTTCCTAGTTCACCTATCTATTCTGTTACCAACCTATTATCTATCTATCCATCTCTCTATCTATATATCCACCTATCCATCCACCTATCCACTATCATCTTGATGTCCAATCAGCAGTTACTTCTGGTCCTTGTGGGCCTGTGGTGTTTACCCTGAACGATGCAACCTTGGTGATGGTCATGCAGCTAGAATCATAGTTATTCCTGAGCTCTACTTGTCATTTCCACAACTATTTCTGGCCCCTGGTGCAGGCAGCATAGTGTCTTCTTGGAAAAGCATTAGCCAAGTCTAGACTGGAAAACACACTGCCTGCTTGCACTCTATCCTAGAGGAAAATTACTGTCATATGATGGAGGCCCAGCCCTGTGAGCTTATTTCTTATGGTAGTCCTATAGGTCCTGGAGAGAGCCACGGAAAAGGCCCACCAACACAAAATAATGACTTTCTTATATATTTGCAAAGTTGGTTGCCTCTGCTACTGCCTCTGAATTCATCCCTAAAAAACAAAATAAGGGGTAGCATATTCATTTTTAAAAATAGACTCTAAAAATCCTAATAATTATAACTTAAAATATAAAATGAGAGAAGTTGTTATTTTAGGTTTAAACAAAATTACCACACCAAATCATTTCCCTATCCTCAAAGAACAATTTATATTTAAAGAAAAATAGCTGCTGCTGAGCCAGAAATGGAACAAAGCCCCACTGTGCACACAGGGTGGTGGTGGGGGCATAATCCCCCAGTGAAAGCGTAAATACCTACCAGACTGGCACAGGTCACCACACATGGGGAGGACAAAGGAAATGACTGAAAGACTCTCTGAGTAGACAAGTGCCAGGTTCAGGTGGCATATCATGCAAAATAAGAAGAGAGCTGGTGGCTGCAGTCCAGGGACCAGGGTTCCCTCACAAAGAATTCAGGCTGCCATAAGGAACCCTGTAGCTATGAAATAAAAATTCACTTTTGCCTGAGTAAGACAAAAGCAACGTGGGAACAAATTGATGTTTTTCTTGCCTGGACATTAGTGGGGTCAGCCCTGGTACGTTTATTTTTGATTAGGAAGGGCAACAATAATAACCATTTGTCATGATTATTTCTCAAATTAAATACAGGTCCACTGGTTTCTTAGCTAGAGTGAGCCCTGGGATGCTGCAGGCATGTGAGGGAGGGCAAATTTAATGTGCTAATTTGTAAGGAGGTCACAAGAAGAACAATTGACAAGGAAAAGTGAAGAAAGAATAAGCCATATTTAAATGTGGAAACGGACAAGTCTGGAAAGGGGATGCAAATTGTTTATGATACGTTTGCAAAAAATTAGTTGAAAAAAAAGGTGAATTTTATAAAGTGTTGTGTTATTTTCTTTCTGGCATCTTAAAAGTGAGCTAACCTACTTATCCCCTACTGTGAAGTGACAGCAGCACTGAAGCAGAAGCCTGTTGCCCAAGATATGTGCAATACTCTATGCCAGAAAGGAGCCCCTGAATTCAGGACAAAACACCCCCACTACTTTCTGGGGGAATGAGGTTCAATGACTTTAGTTTCCCAAGTAGAAAGCCATTGAAAGGAAGCTAAAGGGTATATGTTTTTTCAAACACAAATTTTAAGTTAAGAGAGGCATTATATTTGTCAGGCTCTCATTAGGGAATCGGGTTAGGGCAGATAGCTTCCCAATGTCTCTTAGGGCAGAGTACTGCCTTTCCAGAGATCCCAAGGCTCACCTCCAAATAATCAAGTTCCATTTAATCTTCAGGAAAGAAACATTATAGAAGACAACTCTCAGGACACAGAATCAAGTCTCAACAAAAGTGATCTAGATTTTGAGGTGCTGCTTAAGCTGGTAAGTCAGTAATAACATAATGTGAATTTCCCATTTGTTTTTCTCCTGACAATGAAGCTTCAGTCTTTATTCTGGTTAGTCCTTTGCTGTCCTTGAACATTTCCCTTAAAAAGTAAAGAAAAAAAAACACTAAGTATAATTGAGGGGAATCCAGCTGGTAAATTTTCCTCCCCTGAATTAAGCTCTGCACTGAAAAGAAGTTGAGCCAAAAAGAGAAAGCAGAACATCTTTAAGAAAACCAATCTGTATGTGCCACCATGATTTTCCAATACTAGATGTTGTTTTGGTCAGCTTTGCATCACTGTGACCAAAAGACCTGACAAAAATAACTTAGAGGAGGAAAACTTCATTTTGATTCACAGTTTCAGAAGTTCAGGTCCCTAGTTGGCCTACTCTATAGCTCTTGGTTGGCAGGTGAGGCAGAACATCATGGCAGAAGGTAATGGTAGAGGAAAGCAGCTAAGAACATGGCAACCAAAAGCAGAGATAAGACTCTACCCATCAGGGACAAAATACTAATTCCAAAGGCATACTCCCAGTGACCTCCAGCCACACCCTATCTGCTTAAAGTTACCACCAGTTAATCAATCTACTGATTAGGTCAGAACCCTCATAATCCAATCATTTATCTCTGAACTTTGTGTGTGTGTGTGTGTGTGTGTGTGTATGGTGCCGGGGATTGAACCCAGGACCTTGTGCATGCAAGGCAAGCACTTTACCAACTGAGCTATATCCCAGTCCCACCTCTGAACATTCTTGCCTTGTCTCACACACAAACTTTTTGGGGGATACCTCATATCCAAACCATAACAGATATCATTTAAAGAAATGGATAAATGGAAATAAACAGTTTCTAACTGATCCACTAACTTGTGGTTTGACTTCATATGTTGACTGTAATCAATGTAATGTTTAGGGCTTTGTCCTTTGGGGTAAAACAGGCAGAGTACATAAAAGAAGTTGCATAAACTTAGAGGTCCCGTCCTGCTGGATATGTGGCATGTACATATCATTTTGTATTCTTCAACACATGTACCCATTTGTTATCATATTTCATTCTCAAAAGCCTGTAGAGTAGATGTTAGTAGCCACATTTTTTAAAAATGAAGAACTAGAGTTAGAAAAGTTAAATGAATTCCCTAAGGTCAAAAAAACTGGGAAAAAACAAAAGAAGACTTGTGGAAAGAACATCTGACAACAGCTTTGAAACAACAGGTTTGGCAGTTGACACTTTAAGCCACAATGATTGTAAACGTTTAATAACGCCAATATTTAAAATAATATACATATGTAAATATACGTAAAAATATAACATAGGTTGCAAACCAACTGCTGATTGAGATGCAGATGTATTTTTTAATTTATTAGATATGTCTAAATAGACGTTACACACAGACCATGTGTTTGAAACATAAAACTTAAGTAACCAAGAGTAGTGTTTTTTGTTTGTTTGATTTTTGGTTTTTTGGTATGGGGAATTGGACCCAGGGGTGGTTATCCATTGAGACACATCCCTAGTCTTTTTTATTTTTTAAATTTGTTCTTTTTAGATATACATGACAGTAGAATGTATTTTGGCATATTATACATACATGAACATAACTTATTCTAATTAGGATCCTATTCTTGTGGTTGTATCCCCAGACTTCAAAAAAAAATTTTTTTTTAAACTTTGAGACAGAGTTTCACTAAGTTGCTTACAACCTTGCTAAGTTGCTGAGGCTGGTCTCAAACTTGTAATTCTCCTATCTCAACCTCTGGAGCCACTGGGATTACCTGAGTGCACTACCATGCCCAGCAGAGCAGTGTTTTTATAGTATTTCAAAGAGAATGAATTTTCTCATTTTTTTTAAAAAAAATTACTTTATAAATTTCAGTCTTAATTCTTAAAATTATGGTTGGCTCATCTTAGTGAAGACCACATAGCCTTATACTTAATATTGTCATATTTTGTTTTCCATTTTAAACAAGAAGTTTGTTTAAACCATAATCAATGAGCTATTTAGTATTCATTTTTATGAGTAATCTATACCTACTGAAAGACAGATTATCCTACATGTAAGAGTTATGTAGGAAAAAAAGTTACAAAATTGTTCTTGGTTTTACAACAATAAATGAAAAAACATTAGAATTCTCCACTAGAACAAGGTATACAAGGATTTGTTGTTGTTGCTGTTGTTTTGTTAAAACAGTAAGAACAAAATAATTTACTGTAATATAAAGGTGAGAGCTGAAGGATTATGCTACTCATGGAGAAGGGCTTTTCTCCCATTCCATCTCTACTTGATGTCAATCAAAACATACCTTTGCCTATTTAGTAAAAAAGAGGAGAGAAATTATATCCCATCTATGTATATCAAAGTGCATAAAGGCATTCTACTGTCATGTATAATTAATTAAAACAAATAAAAAGTTTCAAATTAAAAAAGAGGAGAAGGAAGAGGAGGGGAGGGGGAAGGAGGAGGAGGAGGAAGCTTGTGTATATACCCTAGTTACTGTATGCTTAATAAAGCAATGGAAAGTGGAAGCTGAAAGAATAGGGAAACCTACACTGCTTTAGTAGTGGGATGTGGTGAAGCCCAGTGGCATCTGCCAGCTGAGGAAGTGCTCTTGCCCTGTGAGAACAGTACTCCCTCTGGAGAAGAGCAGTTTCCCTTTTTTAGGAGACACCTCCCATCTGCTGCAGCTTCAGCCTCTAGGTGCAACTGAGAAGATTTGTCTGTCAAATTGGACTTCGACAAACCCCGTGGTTCCTTGTAGACTTTCCTTAGTTCATTAAGCAGTGTAGTCTCTCAATCTTAAACCACTCCACAGAAACAATTAGGATGTTCATTGTTCTTAGTGTTGGCCTCTTCCTAGGGCTTCTTGAGGGCTGGAGTCATGATGCTTTTCCTATGAGTTTTTAATGCCTTTCTGCAGGAGAGAAAGCTGCAGAGAAACTCAGCAGATAAGCGAACTAGTGCTGCCAGGGAACTCTTACAGAGTGAGAGAAAGTATGTGCAGATGCTGGAAATTGTGCGGGATGTTTATGTGAGACCACTGAGAGCAGCACTGGCATCAAACAGAGCGATTCTGAGTGCTGCAAACATACAGATAATTTTCTCTGATATTCTGCAGATTTTAAGTCTCAACAGGTAAATCACATTTTGTCTCAAGAGCTGTACAGAACCTCTTTCTCTGCTCCTCCTGGGTACAATGATCATCTTGCAGAGGGGAGGGCTCCTCAGCCCGTCACTCTCTGGGCTGCAACTGGAAGTGATCATTCCTCCCCAGGTCCAGGCTAGGTGCAAAGATAGAGTCCAGTGCTGGGGCTTTCTGTATCAGGAGAATATTTGCACAAAAGACAACCAGAAAGAGAGCTGGATGGAGTCATTCTTAATCAGCAAATCTTAATTGATCAGGGAGAGAGGAGCAGAAGAACTTAACAGGCTCAACGTAATAGGGAACTTTACCCAGAAATCCCAACACAGATCAGTTTAATAAATGTGCTTCATGTATATAACCTGAGAGAGAACAGTCACTCTACCTGTTGTAAAGTAAGAAAATTGAGCATATGCTGCTCTGACAGTGACTCTTTAGGTAACTTGGGACCAGTTGTCCACCCTCTATAGGCCCCTGCTGCCATGAAATGAAGAGGTTGGTAGGCCTCTGCCAGTTTTCAAGATCTGGGACAGCTGGGAGAGACTATCTTAGAGGCCCAGGGACATATGGTGCTTAGAGTTGGAGCTGTCTAAGCTGTTGTTGTTCCCTGAAGGTGGGACATTCAGGGGCAGCTGTATTGAAGCTAGCCTGGGTTCTGACTCCAGGAATTAGGACAAAGAGAGGGACCTTCCACAGCGTGCCTACTTCCTTACACCCTTACCCCTACTTCTGGTCCATCAAATCTCTATTGCTCTATGTTAAGAAAAAAGTTCTTGATCAAAATCAAGTACCGTCATAAAAGACTAGGCCGCAAAAGTCTACACTAGCAACAATTAAGTCTGCAAGCTATCATGGGCTTATATTCACAATTATATTTTCCCCATATTGCAGGCAATTTCTAGATAACCTAAGAGACAGACTACAGGAATGGAGCTCAGCCCACTGTGTGGGGGAAATATTCATAAAGTTTGGAGGCCAGTTGAACACATACACCAATTTCTTCAATAATTACCCTGTTGTTCTGAAAACCATCGAGAAGGTAAATGGTTGACTCGTCATCCATCCTTTGATTAGGACCAGAGTTAACAGGAAGGGCTGCTTCTCTGCCTTTCTCTCCTAGGTCTTCTCTCCTGTCCTGTGAGCTCTCTGAGGACAGGGACCCTGACAAAGAGCTAGGACATTGCTTTACACACAGCATTATCTAGGTTGAACTGGACTAATCCTCATATACACTGCCCATTACATCTTACCCGGCTCCCCTGTGGCTCAGTTACAGGAGAATGTTCAACAATTAGGTAGAAGAAAGACTGTGAGCTTTGATTCTATTCTCCAGCCCAATCCCATATGGCTCGGATGAGTTCAGCTCTTTGGACAAAAGTGCACTTGAATATGGCAATTTCATAGATCTGATCTTGAGGACAAGAATTGGAGCAGAGACACATGTTACCAGAAACAAACTGGTGCCAAAATTTTTATAGTTATGTTTAACAATGAGACCTGCTCCACTAGCATAGTGTATATGTATATATTCAATAATTGTTAGCTATAATTACCGAAATCAGAATTTTTAGAAATTAGCACTGCTGATATCATTTAGACATGTACCTACTAAGTGGAAGGAGGTAAGTTCATGGTTGCAATAAAGGAAATGAATTAATACATCTAAAAACAGATATTAAATATAGTAGAATGCTTTTATAATATTATGAAAACATGATTAATAGCAGTATTAAAAGTGACTATTATTACTAGTCAAGTTCTTACTACAATGAAATAACCTCTACTGCATGACAGGTACTTTATTGACAGAATTATCCCCCTCATCCTAAATTAGGTGTGAGATCCATTTTACAGATGAGAAAGCTAAAGGTGAAAGAAGTTAACTTGACAATGTCGATTTATTCTAGTTCTAATCCAGGCCCATTGAAAAGTCTATTATTATTTGTCTTATTAAGTTCAATGGCTAGGGCTAGGTCTATGATATAATTAAGACACTCTGCTTAATATATTAGGAGACACTGGGGGTGCCAGATCTTGAGATGTTGTCCTGCTTGGAGTGTTCCATAGGTCGTCACTCACCAGGTGGAACAGAAGGCTTTGCAGCTGTCTCATACAGCAAGGTTTTGACAGTTGTTCCCTTCTAGTGCAGAGAAATGACACCAGCATTCCGAGCTTTCCTGAAGAGGCATGATAAGACCACTGTTACTAAAATGCTGAGGTGAGTTCCAAGGGAGAGCACAGTTGGGTCCCAAGGAGAGGGTACTCCTCAATTTTCAAGCAGAGACCAGGCTCCCTTCTCTGTGCCTCATACAGCCTGCCGGAGCTGCTTTTGTTCCCATCTCGGAGATTTGACGAATATGTGAATCTTCTCTATGCTCTGAGGCTTCATACTGCTGCCGAACACGTTGACCGTGGGGACCTGACCACTGCAATTGGCCAAATCAAAAAATACAAAGGTTATATAGATCAGGTTCGTTGCTGATAAGCATCTGTCTTTCACAAATGTCACAATGCTTTTGTGGCACTCTCAAAGATCCTGAGATATCTTCTCTTCTGTGGTGTTCTTGTAGTCTTTGGTTCTTTTAAATATTAAATAGATAGTTGTATTCAATGGTTTTGAACACTAAGGAGATCAATCCTAACCCAAGCAACATGGAATAGAATGTTTTCAGAGAGCTGTACAATAACAATAAAACCTTTACTAAAATGAAAGTTTGAAAATTTTATTTTCTTGATAACAAAAAGAAAGAATGATGTGTATAATCCTTTGATTCTGAAATTACTTTTTAAGGTATTAATTAGTTTTCCTGCTTCAGTAAGTACAGAAATCAATCTGAAAGACATTGGCATCTTGGAGTACAGTACTCTTATGTTGTAGACATCATCATCGATTGTGCCTACTACATAGGAATCTAGGCTGAATATAACCTGTTACTCCTGTTACCATATCAAAGCCCTGAGGATGCTTTCATAAATAGTAATGTTACTTGCCTTTTAAAACACTGTTTTATGGGGCTGGGGTTGTGGTTCAGTGATAGAGCACTCACCTAGCATGTGAGGCCCTGGGTTTGATCCTCAGCACCACATAAAAACAAATAAATAAAATAAAGGTATTGTATCCAACTACATATTAAAATTTGTTTAAAAAAATAAAACACTGTTTTAAAACAGCAGGTACAGAAAATTTAAGTTTTTATTGTAGTAAAGTATCAAACCATGCACCAAGTGCCACAAAAATATTTTAATCCTTTTCTTTTAGGATTAAAAATGTCACAATTTTAGTTGGTCTAAAATCAGTCTGTTTTCTAGATGAAAGAAAACATCAGAATGAAGGAGCAGCTGTCAGACATACAGAGAATCATCTGGGGGTGCCCTGTAAGTATTCTGATGTACTTTCTGTATTCTTTGCTCGTGAGTATAATCTCATCTTTGGCAGAAGACATAAAGATCCCACTGCAGCTAATGTATGGAACGTCTGCTGCTGCTGGGGCTCACTGCAACCTCTCACATTTCACATCTTCCTTATCTGCAGCCATGCTCCATGAGAAGAGGCACACGTGACCTTGGCCCTATCCCACCACTTTTCTGCAGTCTTGGGTCCTTATTTGTGGTTAGCTGTTACCTCTTGACTATCAACTTGTCTTCCTATCTTCTCTTACCTACTAAGGATCACACCACAAATGTACTTGCCATTCTCTGGTAGTGTAGCCTTTCTTCATTTGTCTTGCATTTGTTCTTTGTACAAATTCTTCTTTGAAATTGCCTTCCTTTCCTAGTCTACTGGATAAATGCTATTCATCCTTTAAAAACCAGATCAATCATTCTCTTCTCCATGCAGTTTCCCTAACATTTCCAGCTGTGAGCTGTTTCCTTCTTTCACAGCCCTGGACCATCCCTGACATATGTTACCGAGACCTTCTATTTACATAGCTGGGAGAGCTACCATGTGTGAACTGACTCACTTGTCTTCCGGTGTCTGGCATTCAGTAGGAGCTCCCTATGTGAATTGTTGAAGTATCAGTGGATTGGAGATATGATTTTTATTTGGTCAAACTGGGGGAGCTAGATGGAGTTTTTGTCATTATTTCAATCTGCATGGAAAGAAAAGAGTTGGTTGAACAGCAAAAGCCCAAATTTTTGCAAGTCAGAGAGTCTCTAGAACTTCATCTCTGACTCACTGTACATACCAAGATATTATTCTCATGATCAAGAGATCAATACAAAGGCTTGACATCTTAATTTGTAGCATTTCATTTGCCTCCTTTTCTTTTCTTTTTTTTAAAAGATATTTTAAAGACGGACACAATATCTTTATTTTATTTATTTGTATGTGGTGGTGAGGATCGAACCCAGTCCTCAAGCATGTGAGGCAAGTGATCTACCACTGAGTCACAACCCTAGCCCCATGCTTCTTTTTCTTACTAATTTTCTTTTAATCTCCCTCCTTCACTTTGTTTTTGATACTATAAAATTGTTTACAAAAAATAATTTTGGTACTTTTTTTTTAGGTGTAGATGGACACAACACAATGCCTTTATTTTTATGTGATGCTGAGGATCAAACCCAGGTCCCGCCTATGCTAGGCGAGCGCTCTACCGCTGAGCCACAATCCCAGCCCAATTTTGGTAGTTTGAAAACTTTGACAACATTCCCAAATAAGTTTTTATTGTCAATTGTGGTCTTTCTAAAGAAAGCCTGTTTTATAAACAATGAAAATATTCACTTTTTCAAAACTGAACCAAGTTCTAGTCAACACTTGCATGTTCTGGGATATAAAATGGTTCTGCAGTGATGGTATTTGTTTTAAAATGTTTATACATGCTTCTAATTTTTTGACTTTATAGACTCTATTTGAAATAAACAGATACCTGATTAGGGTCCAAGATGTAGTCCAACTCCATTGCTGTGATGAGGAGATAAGTTTCTCTTTAAGGTAAGCAGCAGTTAATTCCCCTAAGGCTGCGAAGACCTTAAGTGCTGGTGGCTGTTATTCATTTCACATCTGTGGCCTTCAGTAACTGTGCCTGACATACTATAGGTGTATGATAAATCTTTGCATTGAACAAAGAAGCTACATACAATCCCTCTGATGTAGTGCAAGAGGTATACTCTATTACCTTACATAAGTTCTATGCAGTTCTTGGGCAGATGGGAGAAAATAAATCGTCTCTACCAAGACCACAAACTCCATAGAAGCAGAACTTCTAGAGGTTGGTTACTTTTCTACTGAGAGAAGATTCAAGTATTATGGATTGCATACCAATCATCTGTTCAACTATACAAAAGAGGGGAACATCTTATTATCCTCAAATAGTTGTTGAGGATGGTATTAAAAATGACTTTACCTAGCAGCGCAGTGGCACACACCTGTGATCCCAGTGGCTTGAGGAAGGAGGATGTTGAGTTCAAAGCCAGCCTTAGCAACTTAGCGAGACTTTAGACAATTCAGTGAGATCCTATCTCTAAATAAAATACAAAAAAGGGCTAGGGATGTGGCCCAGCGGTTGAGTGCCCAGGGGTTCAATCCCTAGTACTAAAATAATAATAATATAACAACAACAACAACAACAACAACAACTTCACCACATGTAGTTTGCACAAGTGCTCAGAGTAGTGCAAGAATGCCAATGTCCATAAATTAGTGTTCCATTCCTCCTTTAGAACAAGATGGACAAGTTCTTTCCTGTAAAGGTTCAGAGAGTAAATATTTAGGATTTGCTGGCCAAATGATCTCTGTGGCAATGACCTACCTTTGTCATTGTAGCAAAAAACCCTAACATAAATGATATAATACAAAAAATGTATGCTATTCATAAACAATATATAAATGGATATGTATGGCTTTGTTCCAATAAATCTTTATTTACAAAAACAGGTAATGGGCTATAGTTTGTTTATCTCTGCTTTAGAAAACTATCAAACTGAGCTCAGTGGTGGAGTGCTTGCCTAGCATGTGTGAGGCACTGGGTTGGATTCTCAGCACCACATATAAATAAATAAATTAAAGGTCCATTGACAATTAAAAATATATTTAAAAAAACTATTTTCCAGTATTAATAGCAAAGATAATGACCTAGCACATAATTAAGCAGAACTTCTCAAGGATGGTCACTTTTCTATTGAAAGAAGACCCAAGTGACCAAATGATCCCATTGCAATAAAAGTAAAAAAATGATTTCTTTCAATGAATATTTCAGCAACCATTTTCCAAAAGCATAGAGCCCTGGTGTAGATGGAAGAAATATTTACCTCTATTTCCACCTTGAGCAGATCATTAGTGAAAATCAAATTATACAGTAGTGTCTCATTGTCACAGTATTTTTGTTTCTTTTGTGCTGTTTTTGGCTAGTGACACTAGCAAAGAGCTACAATGATAGAAACTAGAGCCTAAAGCAGCAATTCTAAACTGCTGTGGTAGGACACATGCCAGGAATTGTTCCAGTTTGGGTTATTATTTGACCTTCATGTGTTCCTTCTTGAGCACTTCCTTTCCAAGTTTCTGTATTGTTTTCCTTCTATCTGCAGAACCTCCTTTAACATTTCTTGCAAAGCAGGTCTACTGGCAATTAATTGCCTCAATTTTGGTTTGAGAAATTCTTACTTCTACTTCATGTTTGAAGGAAAATTTTGCAGGCTATGTAATTCTAGGTTGGAGATTTTTTTTATACTTATTTCACTCCATTCACTTCATGATGGAATAATTCCAAAGAGAAGTATAAAGTAATCATTATCCTTGTTCCTCTATAAATAGGTGTTTTGTTGTTCTTTGGATTCTTTCAAGGTTTTCTCTTTGTTTTCTGAAGTTAAGAGTGTATTATGTGTAGATATAGATTTTTTGGTATTTATTCTGCTTAGTATTCTCTGAGCTTCCTGGGCTTGTGTTTTGCTGTCAATAATTTTGGAAACTTCAGCCATTATTACTCCAAATATTTCTTGTTTCTTTCTCATCTCCATTTACTATTCCCATTACACACATGTGCTTTGAAATGTACTCATTACTTAAATATTCTGTTCCTTTCTTTTCCAATCTGGTCTTTTTTCTTTTTCCGTTGGAAAGTTTCTATTGACATATCTTCAAAATTACTAATTCTTAACTCAGCTGTGTCCAGTCTACTGATGAGCCCACTAAAGAAAGGCATTCTTCATTTATGATTTTATTTTTAATATTTCTTTTTAACTTTCTTTTAAAAATTTCTGTTTACATGACACCTCTCTTCTTCCATGTGGTCTACTTTTCCTATTAGATCCCTTAATATATTAATCATAGTTAAAAAATTTCAATATCTCTACCTTCTCTGAGTCTGGTTCTGATACTTGGCCTTTTTTCAATCTGTTTTTGGCCTCTTAGGATGCCTTATAATGTTTTGTTGAAGGACAGACACAAAGTATCAGCAAAAGGAACTGGGCTAAATAGGCCTTTTTAGTGTGAGGTTTTAGTTTATTTGGCTAGGAGGTAGGCTGTGTTTACTGGGTTGAGGTCAGAGTTTGCAATTTTCCCTAGTGTCCTTGTTTTGGTCTCCCCTATTGTTTTTGGATTTCCTGGAAGATCTAAATAGGGTCTGACCCTTGTGGTTCTGTCAGCTGTATTATATGAGGGTACTATTGATATGGAAGTAAAGTGAGGGAAGGGGAAGCATTCTGTACTTCTTTGACCAGTGTTCAGTCTTTTAATGAGCCTATTGCCTGAGATGTGACCTTCGTAAGTGCTTCTCAGCATTTTTTCCAACTCTAAGATGAGGTGTGAAGGATAGAGAGGGCTGGTGTTAGATACTCTCCTTTTCCTGCAATGGTTATATTTTGGTAAAACCCAAGTTAGTTAAGTTCTGTTAAAAGTTCTCCTTGGGGGCAGGACTTGGTTAAGGAGAACAGAACTCTCTGGACATATTTCAAAATGGCTACTTTTCATCTGCCCTGGGGAAGAATAAGGGGATTTTTCTCTGTCCTTCATCATAAGAACCTGTGGGTAAAACTCAGACCAGTGTGGGAACCCCTGATGTTTTCTCCCTTTCTCTTCTCTCCACAATCTCCTATAGTTAGTCAATGAGCCTTTAAGTGTTTGATACTGGCTCTAGCCAGTAGTTGGTTTAAGATTGTATTGGTCTATCCAGCTTTTGGGGTGGTGGTTAACTCCGTGACCTCAGTTCTCTGGTAGATCTGAGAAGAGTTGTCAATTCTGAGGGTTTTTTCCATTTATTTTTTGTTATGAGGTTAGGAAAGACAACTTCCAAGCCCTTTACATGTCATTTGGGAATGGAAGTCTACTAGAATTTAGACTTGTCTTGGACAAGAGATGACAGTACATTTAAGAAGATTAAGATAATACTAAATTATTTTACACTCTGTGTGGTACATTTATATTCAAGTAGGCATGTTTTCTGATTACATTTATACTATTTGCCAATAAACATATATAACTTCACATTAACATTTGAAACTAAATAACTGCAAACAGGCTTATATTCTAAAATATTGCACAATATTTAGCCTGCAATCTTGTTTTCTGTCATTTTAGAAAATCACATAAAATAAAAGAATTGCCATTCCCATGATTTCCATCAGAGATTTTTACTAAAGCAAATACATTATACTTATAGGTATGACAGTGACAGGAATATAAGGCTTTATAGTTTACCATGTATTTAACTATTCTACTTGATAAATTCATTACAATCTCTTGGTGAGGCAGGTAGGACAGGATCCTGGAGAATCCAACTTCAGTAAGTTGCCTGAGGTCACAGAACTATTAAAGGCTGGTCAGGAATTCACAACCTAGTCTCTCAATGCACAGGCTGTCTCCACAGATCATAGGCAGGTGGAAAGATGAACTGAGCCTCCCTCATAATAAATTTACCAACGTAGCAGCAAGTACTAAACAAATAATTAACACTGAAAGAATGGGTAAATGTTTGCATTTTAAACAATTCTCTATTCCTCTGGAAATAGAGATGGAAGTCATAGAGTCATATGAAGAGCTAGGAATTTCAGAAGATATTTTTTCCATTGTGGACATAAACTGTAGTTTTAGATTATATTTAGCTTTTATAGTGTATTATGTATTTTGGAACTCTTATAACTTTTTTCCAGAAACACCAATCTTCATATATGTAACTTTAAGCTTGCTAATCTTTTTAAGTGTGGTTATTTACCAGGGCAACTATGCATTGGAGAAAGGGAAACACTCAGATTTTTTGGAGACACTAGACTCTTGGTTCTGAATTTAGTCCTACTCTAGGGACCCAAGAGCTATTGTGATCCCCAAGTCAGTGTGGATACAGATGCTAGCTGTCAACTGTTCTGCTCAGATCAGCTCACGGTAGAAGCTGTTGTCCATTCCTTCTAAAGCTTTCATCCTGAAAATTTCTTTTAAAGTTTTATGTATTATAGGAGTTAGGTACTTTATGTCTTCTGATGTGGTCTAGTTAGTGCATAAATAACACAGCACTTCTAGAATGGAGTTAAGAATTTACACTAGAGTAACTGTGTTCCATTTTCCTGAGTCATTCATTATTTATAGACGAGCAAAGAAATCCTGTCAAAATTCAGGGAAAAAGCAAATGCCCTAATCTTGGAGTTGATTCTGAGTGGTAGCATTCTGAAACATTACATAGGATCCATAATTTCTACTCTACTTGCTTTATTAGGTTGATATTAAAGGTCAAATTATTTGCTTTTGCATATTTAAAAGAGTTATTAAAACTTTTTAAAAACCTTTTGGTGCTTTTTGTCTATGGATGAAAATTGTTGGAGAGCTTGAGGGGCTTAATTTAGTAAATGGCTTTTGAAAAACTTTTTCTAGATTAAAATTATATATATATATGCATATATGTATTTAAATATGTATAAAACTTTGTATGGGATACTGGGATTGAACACAGGGTCTCATGCAAAAGGGCTTTTCCACTGAGCCTCATCCCTAGCTTTTTTATCTGTTATTATGAGACAGGGTTTTGCTAGATTGCCTAGGCTGGCCTGAAACTGATTCTTCTTGCCTCAGCCTCCTGAGTGGCTGGGATAACCAAAGACAGAAAGGAAAAGTTTGAAAGGAATAGCTGGCTCAAGGAGCTGGAATACTACTGTGTTTCTATCTATCCACACACCCACAAACCTCACACTTCCTTAATACTGTACAAATAGCTGAAACCTAAAGTATAGTACTCCCTGGAATTTTAACTCCTGGATGAGTCCTTTGCTCAGCTCTTATGTGAGGTGAATAGGGAGCCTACATCCTGGGAACAAATTTTTACCCCTCAAACATCAGATAGAGCTCTAATCTCTAGAGTATACAAAGAACTCAAAAAGTTAAACAACAAAAAAGCAAATAACCCAATCAACAAATGGGCCAAGGACTTGAACAGAAACTTCTCAGGATATACACTCAATCAACAAATACATGAAAAAATGCTCACCATCTCTAGCAATCATAGAAATGCAAACTAAAACTAAGATACCATCTCACTCCAATAAGAATGGCAGCCATTATGAAGTCAAACAACAATAAGTGCTGGTGATGATGCAGGGGAAAAAGGTACACTTATACATTGCTGGTGGGACTGCAAATTGGTGCAGCCAATTTGGAAAGCAGTATGGAGATTCCTTGGGAAGCTGGGAATGGAACCACCATTTGACCCAGCTATTCCCCTTCTCGGACTATACCCAAAAGACCTAAAAAGAGCATACTACAAGGACACTGCCACATCAATGTTTATAGCAGCACAATTCACAATAGCTAGAATGTGGAACCAACCCAGATGCCCTTCAATAGATGAATGGATTAAAAAATGTGGCATTTATATACAATGGAATATTACTCAGCACTAAAAAATAACAAGATCATGGCATTTGCAGGGAAATGGATGGCATTAGAGCAGAATATGCTAAGTGGGATTATGCCAATCCCTAAAAAACAAATGCCGAATGTCTTCTCTGATATAAGGTGGTTACTCAAAATGGGATAGGGAGGAAGAGCATGAGAAGAAGACTACCACTAAATAGGGAAGAGAGGTGGGAGGGAAAAAGAGGGAGAAGGGGTGTTGCACGGAAGATGGAAGGAGAACCTCATTGTTATATAGAATATATATATGATGTTGTGATGAGAAAAAGAAAAAAAAAGTGTGTCACATTAGATTGGATAGAGAGAAGTGATGGGAGGGGAGGGGAGGAATAGGGTGGATAGGAAGGGCAGCAGAATAGAACAGACATTATGACTGATGTATGTACGTTCCATGTATGTATTATATGTCAAAATACATTCTGCTCTCATGTAGGACTAAAAAAAAATAAAAATAAATCGTATGGTAAATAAATAAATAAATAAATGACTTAAGTGCCTTACTTCTCAAAGTGTGGCTGGCCTGTAGGTCAGTAGAATCAGCAACACAAGGGAGCTTACTAGAAATGCCATCTTATGCAGGTGTCATGGAGAACCTGGAATTCTTTGATGAAAGTACAGAACTCATTTGACTAATCTATCTTGGGACTAATCCATACTCTTGGGATTCCTATCTGATAGAAATTAACAGCAAATGTAAGAAATTTGTTTATGTGTAAGGAACTAGGAATTAGTTGGTGGCAAGGGGGAAGAGGACCAAAACTTCTAAACAAGGTAAAATGTCCATCTGTAGTGGAAATAAATAAGTCCATTCACACCATTAAGTACTATTTAGCTATTTAAAAAGAATGAATTAAAACCAAGTAGTTAGATCAAAATGATTTTCATTGCTGAGAAAACCAGAAAAGAAAAAAAAAGTGGGGAATAATATTGGCATTTTTGTAAAATAATGGAAATTTCCCTGTAAATAGATGTGTGTATACATGCGTGAATACCTGAGCAATACAAAGAAATTGAAGGATATGCATTGGGTTGGAAAGTTGGGTCACATGAGTAGAGGGAGGAGTGAGCCAAGCACAATGGAAAAAGTAAGGAGAAAAAGTAATGTACATATTTGTACATTAAATAAGAACCAATTGCAAGACTGGTGTCACTTAAAAATTTCTATAAAAATGTATGCTCTAAATGGACAATTTAAAAATTATTATTGAAGATAAAGAATGAGACTTCCCTTGAATAAGCATACACAAATTGATTCCCTTCATTAAATTCCCAAGGGTTGCTTGACAGTCATAAAATAATTATATTCTCTATCAAAACATTTAGGTTTCGGGCTAGGTCATGGCTCAGTGGTAGAGTGTTTGCCTTGCATGTGTGAGGTAGTGGGTTTGAATCTCAACACCACATAAAAATGTTGTGTCCATTTACAATTAAAAAAATATATTTAAAACCCCCAAACATTTAGCTTTCTTCATGTAGCCATTCCTGAATGGGAGGGGCATGGGAGCCATGGGGAGTGGTTTGGGTTCCTGAGATCCTCCCCAGTCTATTACTGGACATCATTACTCTCAAGTATGATGCTCTGTTAGTGTACTCTCACAGTATAACCCACACTAGAGCACAGTGAAACCCACCAATGAACTGCTCCAACAACAGAAATCAAAGAGCATAACTGGGGGATGGTGTTGTGGCTCAGAGGTACAGTTCTTGCCTAGCATGGGTGAGACACTGGGTTCAATCCTCAGCACCACATAAAAATAAATACATAAATAAAAATAAAGGTATTGTGTTCACCAACAATTAAAAAAATTTATAACTGGCTAAGGACACCAAATTTTGCTTCTTGATAAACATGCCTACAGCTGACCATGTTAGTAACCCCAGTAAAAATAAAAAAACTATCTTTTACCTTGCATGCTGATCAATCAAAATGAAAAACTTACTTCTACCTAGTATTTAAATGTCTCTTTCCCCTCTACTTAAAGACACCTTGTGCCACACTCATGTTTCCCTAAGAGATAAAACAAAAACTTATTTCTCTCACACTGCCCAAATATGCCTGGCACAAAACACTAAACAAGTTTAAAAAGAGAATCATAATAAGATAATGCCAAGTGAAGTTAGCCAATCCCAAAAAAACAAATGCCGAATGATATAAGGAGGCTGATTCATAGCAGGGTTTGGGAGGGGGAGCATGGGAGGATTAGATGAACTCTAGATAGGGCAAAGGGGTGGGAGCGGAAGGGAGGGGGCATGGGGGTAAAAAAGATGGTGGAATGAGATGGACATCATTACTCTTAAGTACATGAAGTCACGAATGGTGTGAATATACTTTACATACAACCAAAGATATGAAAAATTGTGTTCTATATGTGTAATATGAATTGTAATGCATTCTGCTGTCATATAACAAATTAGAATAAAAAATTTAAAAACTACATGCTTTGTAAAATGAAGAAAATAAAAGGAGCTATAATTTCAAAACAAAACAAAGAACCATAATATGATTCTTCATAAAGGAGCGAAAATTCAATGTTCATTTTTCCCACACTGATTATGAACGACTCCATCCAGTAACTTGAAGGCTCCCAATATTGGTCTGAGAGAGACAGTGGGAAATAATCACATCAGGAGGAAAATCTTACTGTGAACGTGATGTGCACTTGAAAAGTCTGGAGTGGGGTCAAAATCTTAACTAGGACTTATTAAAGAGGCTTAACTGTTTAACAAAGCACATATATGCATATATGAAAACTCTTCCCATTTCCATTTTAACACAGGCTCTATGAACAAATTCGTGATCTCAGCTTCTTCCTCTTCAATGATGCACTGCTTGTTTCTAGCCGGGGCATATCACACACTCCATTTGAAAGGACTTCAAAAACAACCTACCAGTTCATTGCATCAGTGGCCCTTCACAGGTTACTGATAGAAGATATTCCAGATTCCAAGTGTATGTATTTATTCCTTTAAGAGCAAATATTTTTATAAAGTTCATCAACTATTAAAATAGAAAAGGACTGTTTTCCTTTTAGCAGGAAAAGGACTGGAGTTACAACTTGCTAGCTTGCAAATAATTCCCTAAACATTAGAATTTTGTTAAACTTTCATCTATCTCTGAAATAGCAAAAAAAAAAAAAAAAAAAAAAAAAAAAAAAAGGAATGTTGGCATTATCACACAAGTCCCCTAGATATCAGGAACAGAGCTTTCAAAATCACAAAGGGAGGCAAGACCCCATATCATCCTGAATTCTTTTTGAGAGTTTTGAGTTCAGAGCTAGAGTTCTTAACCACTAAGCAGTAAAGTCTGAAGATGTTAGAGACTTAAAACACCACTTTAGATTTTCCTCTATTACTTGTTTATTCTACTAGGACTATATAGCTATTACAAACTTGTATTGTACCTTTTCTTCCTAAAATTCACATTGAAGTTGGGAGTTTTTCTATAAAGGAATTAACAAACTTGCATAGGCTGCTTAGTAATTTGAACATTTTATCTATACTAATTCCAGTGGAAATCACAAAAAGGAAATCCTACTTAACCTGTTATGCCTACTTTCAGTTATCATCCTGCACTCTACTTCTCAAAAGGACCAATCTCTTTCCTATACTTATTAGGCCAATTTAAATGTAACACTCTCATTCCAATATTTTCCAATGCATGTAAAGAAAGGAGTTAATGTTAAAGCAGGAATCAAGATCTTAGAGAAGAAATTAACTTGAATAAAAAAACTATTTCTCAATAGCTTCTGCTCCGGGGCTGGGGATGTGGCTCAAGCGGTAGCGTGCTCGCCCGGCATGCATGCGGCCCGGGTTCGATCCTCAGCACCACATACAAACAAAGATGTTGTGTTCGCCGAAAACTAAAAAATAACTATTAAAAAAAAAAAATTCAAAAAAAAAATACTATATTTGAAAAAAAAATAGCTTCTGCTCCATTCTAAATCTGAGCCTTAGGGAAAAAAGAATGCTAAGTGTGGGAATAAATATTTCTACCTAGAAAGTATCTGAAGGTAAAAAGGGTTAGCTACCCATAATCATAGTGTATGGTTAGTGTATGAAACATGTTTCTTTTCTTCAGTTCATTTCCTTTCATGATAACCAGCTATACTCTGTGAAACTGTTATATAACCTAACAGTGGGCAGGCACTGAATTAAGTACAGTACCTGGCTTTGTCACTGGCACCTCATAACATAGTTGTCTAGGTCTAGCTCTCAGCATGTCTAATTATAGTAACTATTAGTAAAGATCTTTATCAATTCCAGTTCTTCATGGAGTGACTGAGATTAAGGAATTAAAGAATACCACATCATCTACCATTTAGTCTTTCAAATAATTGCTAATTATAAAGATTATTTTAGATTATGACATATTTAATCATTAATTGCAGGAAGTTATGTTCTAAACTAGGCTTGTGTTTGCGTTGAACCCTTAATTTTAGGTTTCAAAGAATTCTTAAAGATGACTTGGTCAGTCCTTGAAATTTAAAACATTTTCTCTTTTTGTTACTGTAAAGAATAATTTGTGTACCTCAAACGCTTTCACAGATGTCAAGAATGCATTTATTCTTCAAGGTCCAAAATGTGAATGGATTTGTGCTACTGAAGTAGAGGATGACAAATTCCTATGGTTGTCAGTACTCCAAAATGCGATCAAAAGCAGTATGGACAAGTGAGACTGGACTTGAAGAAAACATCAGGGGTATCAATTCTCCCTGGCAAAGACAGAAAATGTTGTTCTTCTGTTCTAGGGTATCCAGTAAGAAGCAGAATGATTATCTGTTGTGGATGATGAGAAGATGAACTAGGATGACCCATAAGATTCCTTCCAACTTTTGAACTTCATTATCTAAAAGTTTTGTGGGGCTGGGGATAGCTCTATTGGTAGAGTGCTTGCCTCTCATGCACAAGGTTCTGGATTCAATCCCCAGTACCACTACCCCCACAGAAAAAAAAAAAAATAGGCTTTTATAACACAGTCATGTGTAACATAAGAACAATCAGTTTAAAATTTTGAACCATTTCTTTTGGTAGTTATTTTTCCTGGACATTATTTAAAATAATTTGACTGATGTAATGAGTCCTAAGAGAGCAAGCATTTTGTGCAAAGTTTTTTTTAATCATCTAAAGAAAAAACACTAGAATGAAAAGTTTAAATGACCATTCTAGAAAGCTTAATTTGTTGATTTGCAATCTTTAAAATTTTCATAGAACAATTACTGATTAAAAAATACATAAGAAATATAAGTGACAACTTTCTAAAACACTTGTTAATTACATCCTTAATATGAATGTAATCCTCTAGCAAACAAAAAGTACCATTACAAAGCACTAGATTTTTTTGTATTTAGTTTTTTTTTTTTGCTGCAAAACTTAGAATATCCAAATAAGGAGGTTTAAAAATACTGTTGATATTGTCAAATTAGAAGGCCACTGAAAAATAAGCCATTTTTAAGAAACAAAAATAAATGGAAACCTAGTGAAACTGCCTGTAATGGGACTTAGCTTAATAAAATCAAATAAATTAAGACAGCTCTGTTTAAAACAAATAAACAGCAAAATAGAAGTTTCCTGGGCCTTTAAAGCCTTTATTAGCATGTTTAGCTAATAAAGGTTATAACTTGGGGCCACCTGGAAGCTTTAGCTGATGTGTGCAGTAGTAATATTTATATCTACTTAATGATAAATGAAAGTTATATAATCTTGGAAGCTTTAGGTTGCCAAATTCCTTTTTGCTTGATAAAGTAATAAAATTTACTAGTACAGTTTAGGATTTTTATCCTGGGTTAAACAGTGAAACTAATTCCTTCTAATTCTTAAAAATTTAAATTCTTATGAAAAATATACAAAAGTTAAAATACGTATGTACTGTTCTTTTTAGTGTGAAATCACACTTCTGATTCTATCATGATATAGCCCTGTAGTTTAACATCTATGATCCAACAGACAGAATAACTTTAAAGACAATATCTGTTGTTAGCAAGAATGCAAATTTACACATGTGATCCCAATATATGATATAAAACAAATTGTAAGATAGTATATTATCCCAAATAGGGTATACTTCAGAAACTTGTAATAGGAAAACCTATCTATATGGCAAAAAGAACAAGTGACAAGATAGTGAAAGGTAAACAGAAATCTTAAGGAATTTCCATTTCTTCTATAACTGATATCCTTGGAAATTTAGAAGCACATTAATTTAAAATAATCTCAGTAATAACTTCTAAAAAAGTTGACAGCATCAATCATGTAAAATTGACATGGCGATGTTTCTGAATGGGCAGTATTTATGGAGTGGTTTCACAGTTTTTCCTTTATCTTGAAGGGACAATTTAAAAGGCCCATCTTCATAGACAGCTCATAAGTTTCTATGATTGCTGCTGAAAGATTCTAAGTCTCTGATGAAACTGGTCAAAATATGACAAGGAAAACTAGTACCTGACCCCCAAACTGATATGTAAACGATGCTTAAAGAATCATCTGGGTATTTAAGAAAGTAGAATATTGCAGATAGGAGGACTCCACTCAGTAAATTAGCTTCTGGTAAAAACTATCTTATCCAACATAGTTCTTTGAAGTCAAAATTACATAGAAAACTAATTTTAAAGCTTTTTTTTTTTTTTTTACAGAATATAGATGTTTTATATAACATATTAAGCCTAAAAGGATAAATCAAGTTTATTTTTGTTTTCCTTATTTCCTTATTGCAAAGATTTCTGAGTGTATGCTTGAGCCCATACTGTTAATCAAATCTGTATGTGGTTTTGCCATATAAATATGATGGACCAATATTATATTTTCCTGATGCTACAAAAGAGCAGAGGTGGGATATGCCAACAAACACAATGTATCCTCCAGAAAAAGTCATCCTGACCCTTTTATTGTTGAAATTAAAAAAAAAAAAAAAGAGATACTTAAATACAATGGTGAACATATAGGGCAAAACAGAATCATAAAATTTAATTTTGAATTAAGCAGTGAGCTGAATATTTGGGCCTCCAAATTGGCTTTGAACCCAAAACCGCTTAAAAATGGGGTATGTTCACAGTTAACGGCAATTGGCTTATAGGTGAGAGAATGGTCGAAGTTGTTCCAGTTGAACTTCCAGGGAAATTCTCTCCTCAAGAACATCCTGAAAAAGATATCAAGTCCAAGTTATATTCAAAAATATATAAAAACAAAGACACATTTAACAACAACTCTGAAAACAATTTGCTTTTGTCAAGGAGATTAATGGACAACTATTCATATTTTGAAAGTATACATCACTTTAGAAAGGTAGTTTCTTCATACATTGAAAATATGATCCTAGTAACTTAAATCTTTCTTATTATGTAAATCAAGTAATAAAATGTTTTTAAGCCAATTATTAGGAAAGTTAACATTTGCAAAGAATGGGTATTTCTATAAAAATTTTATATAAAGCCAGCCTCCTGAATAAACTGTAGATGAATTAGTTAACACAGATTATTTTCCCTAGTGATGTCATTCAGTTATAGCAACTTCTGGATCCCATTTTGAGTTCCGGTCCCCAAAGGAAAAATTCATTTTGCACCCAGATTTTTTAATTACTGTTGATTCTGAGGAGTCTTTTCAAGTAGCCACAAATTCTAATTTTTTCTTCTTCTTCTCTGGAACCTTAGGTAGAATTCTCAGGTTCCATCCCAGACCTACTAAATCAGAATTTGCATTTTAATACAACCCTAGATTATTTATATATACATTAAAGTTTATAAACCACTGGTTTATAAGACATGAGGGCTTAATAATGTGAGTGATTCTGAGTATAATTATTTTATTCATTCAAATAAATCATAGTGCATAATGGGGAAAAACCCCTCATTCATCTCAAGTATTGGATAACAGTGGAACACATTACATGGAAATACCATTTTTATTTAAGGTCTGTCTTTTCTATTTCTACATGTAAGATAATCTGAATTTTCTCCACCCCTTGTCATCTTTAAGTTCCTTTAATATAATCTGAGTTGTTTTTGGTAAAAAGATAAACTACAAGCAGTCAAATCATCTAATAATTACTTAGAATGCAAAGAGCTATGTATGTGATGTATGGTGTGCCTGAGGTTACAGGGTTTCTTTTCTTTAAGTTTTTATATGAAAGTAAGGAACATTATAGGAACTATAATTCTTGTATCTATATAGGATAAGGCAATGTATATCAGAATTGAGTTTCAAAAATTTCTTTTACTACTAAAAAATTCAGTGGCTAATACAGCATTTTAGATATACAGTTCTCTTGATATGAGGGAGATTTCATGCAAGCATAAAACCTGCTGGATTCTCTTTAACTTCCTCCACAACTCTGGGCCTGTGGAAATTCCCAAATAATGTATCACAAACTATATTACCTTTAATTGTTGTTGCAATTCACTATTCAATCTGGCCAAAACTGTGTTGGTTTCCTTATTGCGTCTAATTGATGCCTGAATAGCTTTCTTATCTTTCCCAATGGATCTGAGGAAGTAAAGAGGACAAAAACCAAAACCTTTATTTCTTTACCTGAACTCATTGTTCCCTGATCTATTTTTGAGCATGGAAAGAACAGGGAACATCTTTTTCCTTATTAACACAGCTCAAAACCTCACTTAGTCAGTTTCAATGGTCAACTAAAAACATATAAGCTTCAGAAGCTTTTGTTTATTTTTGCTATTGTTTTAATTACTGAAAATCCCAAGATTTTTTTTTCTGTTTTCCATCTTTTTCCTTTGCATCGTACTGGTGATTGAATCCAAGGTGTGCTCTCCCACTGAATCACATTTTCACCCCCCCCTTAAATATTTTTTTTAGTCGTCAATGAACTTTCATTTTATTTATTTATCTATTTATTTGTGTGGTACTGAGAATCAAACCCAGTGCCTCCACATACTAGGAAAGTGCTCTACCACTGAGCCACAACTCCAGCCCTATATCTCTCCAGCCCTTTCGACTTTTGTTTTTAAAAATAGGTTCTTGTTAAATGGCTACCCTGAACTTGTGATCCTTGGCCTCCCAAGTAGCTGGGATTACGGTATGAGCCACTGCACCCGGCAAGAATCCCAAGTTTAAAGTTAAACAGTCTAGGGCAGGCCCTGGCAAACTTTTTCTGTAAACAGACTTATTTTAGGCTTTAAGGGCATACAGTTTCTGTTGTATACTCTATTTTTTTCCCCTTTTCCCTTCTATTCTTTTTTTTACAAGGATGTAAAAACCACTCTTAGTTCATGGGCTATACAAAACTAGGCCATGGTCTGAATTTGCCCGAGTTTCAGTCTGCCAAACCCTGATCTTAAACAACCACAATTAAAATATTAGTTTCATTCTACATTATTGTTTTTAAAAACTCCCACCCCAGAGTTTACAATAGGGTGTTAAAATGGAATTGGAATTGAATTTAATAATAATAATGGGGGAAAACGTGGGAAGAATAGTCTACCTATTCAGGAATGAAAAACTAAAAACTGAGAATTAGTCTGACCATTAATTTCTTTCAGTTTGGTGTTTTAATTATTGTGCTTTTTGTTCTTAGTAATTAAATGTTTAAGAATAATGCTGATTACCTGGGAATAGAAGGTTGTGATGCAAGAACAGCAGCCAAGACACCTGTCTTTTGTGTGTGTTCATCAACATCTGGCCTTAATTCATCTTCTGATTTTAATCTTCTTCGAACAGGTTTAGGTGGTGGAGCAAGAGGTGTTGTGCCTTTGCTCTGGAAGACAAGAAATCCATTAATAATGGATATTTCCTGAAGACGTTCATGGTTAGCTAGCACTTTGCCAACTCTGTTTGCTTTCTTTAAGCTACTTGCTCTTAAAACAATTAAAAGTTGGCTGTCCTACTTTAAAATAATTCATCTATTTGTCAGCAGCTAACTTAAAGTGCAACAGGAAAGGATGCTTCTAGTTGATCCCACAATCATGAATATATCTACAATAACAATTTTTTTTTAAATAGAGTAAAATAAGCTCCTTGGAGTCCAAATCTGATAAAAGACTGTAAAAGTCAGTTTTAACATAAATATGATACATATTCAACATATACCAATTCAATAAAGAAAATCTCCAAAAATATTCATTTTCAACATAGGAAATCCTATTCAAAAATACTAAAATATATCATCTTTAAGAATAAAATAATTTATTATGAACATGCGGAAGACTACATAATTAATAAATACCTCTAAAATGCACAGTAATTAAAACTCTTGAAAATGAGTGGACACTTTTTTGGGGATTGTGAATCTGCCTCCAATAGAATCAATTAACACTAGAGTATTTCAATGTTTAGTATAACCTGATTAAGTAAATAAATAAAAGAGAGAGTCAACTGTCATCTCTTAAGTGCTTTTTAAAATTTGTTGTGATAAATTGACAAAAAATAAAATTATTTAAAAATATCACAGAAGTACTAACATAGTAAAAAATTAAGTGTCCAAAAAGCAGAATTTAAGCATTTTATAGCAACACAACCTGTTTTAAATAACTTGGACATATATGAATAATAAAAGGGAAAAAAAAAGTTACCAAAATTGTTCCCTCGAGTGGAATGAATGAATTTACAATTTGAAATGCACAAGGGAGAAGAATTTACAAGAGGAATGGAGAAAGATATTAGAAAGCAAATATAATAAAATATTAATGGTATAATCAACATGGGGTTTATTGATAAACAATATAAATTTCTTTCTCTATAATACTTTTTGCATACCACATTGGCAGGAACACTAGTAGCTGTCTTTTCTTCTATTTTACTATCCGTTTTGGCAACTCGAAGAGAACTTGCAGGATCAGAAGCTTTTTCAACCTAGAGATGAACACATTACCATTTTAACGATATATAATATATAATTATGCACAAATATAGAATATGTAACAAATCAGAGTAAAACTTCAAGAAAATATTTTGACAAGAAAACTGAGAGCTCAGAGATGAGAAGGAACTTGGAAATACCACATTAAATGTCCTTTCTCTAGTGCTAAAAGGAAGCAAAGGGGGGAGGTCAACATCCGTGAAGGAGGGAAGGGTGAATAAGGATGCAGCCATTGTACTGAATATCTAGGTTGTGGCTGGAAAGTTCTTTAGTTGGGGAGGGAATTCACCCACCCAGGGATGTGAGTACCAGTACTCTGACACATCTGCACTTGCCCTCAGACCTGCTCCTGTCTTCCTCGGTGCAGCCCTTTCACCTAATGGCCAGGCACAAAGTTATATGTTGGAATTAGTGACCAGTAGGAAATTTTCCACAGATAAAATCTATAGGAAACCTTTATCTAAGCCATGCTAGTCAAATAAACATGGCTTTTTAATCTGACAGAAAGGCTCAACATGGGTTAAAACAACAATTAGGATAGAGATTTCAGAATTTTTCTAGTCCCTTCCACTTCATATTTATTCCTAGTGGTTTAAGACATTCCTAGTAATGCTCCTTGCCACTAGAACTACAATAGTCTCCTAGAATGCAATCTGCTAAGATCACATTTTGGCATTATATGGTTTGTAAGTTTGCCTAACTAAGGTGACTTACACAAACTGGGTATATGTTATGGTAACCATGGCTTCTTCTCTCTTGGAAATCTTCACTAAATCTTACAATCAGATGCTCAGTATTGAACCTCCAGACAAATGTTTCATCCAGGACCAGCTAGTTGTGTTTGTGTCTTTTCATACCATACCAGTTTCAGATTCTTAGCATTATACTGCAACAAGCAGGTATTAAGAGGGCAAGAAAAAAGTTGAGAAACACTGACCCAGTGAATATGAATCCTCCCAAAGAGGCAGCAGCACATATTTTACTCAATGGTGTGCCATCTACTATTTGCCTTATCAGGAGTTCTTGTTCACAGAGAGGCTTTAAGAGAATGACACGGGAAGAGAATCC